TTACAATCTACAGGTTTAATAACAAAGCTGATTAATTTTCTGAAACTGACTAGTTTTCAGTGTCATGTCAATTTTATTTTATCAGTTCACTTTCAGTACTGAATATAATAGACAATATAGAGATTTTGTAGATGTTGAATTGGTAGGTAACAAATCTAGGGTGTCATTTTCCAGCAAAATTTGCATATTCCATATGTAAATGTGCATGTATATATTTAGTGTATTGATGGTTTTGTGCTTCTTAATATGAGACATATGGAAGCGTGCCTATTGTTGGACACAACCTCTGTACAGACTTAAATGTATTGTATAAATGACTACAATTCTTAATTCTAGGGTATATATGCAAGAGAAATGAATGAGGAGTTTCATTACCTGTTGGACTTTCTTTATTCTCAAATTCTGGGTTGAAAAACTCGTGAACTGAGCAGAAGCAAGGTCATGCCTACAATACATTAATTCACCTTGTCACTTTGCAGCAAGTCAAGTCATGATTAATTAAAATGTATTTTGTTTATATTTGGCTTATTACTCCATCACAGGAATCTCAGTTTAAGTTCACCATCACTGTATTATGAAACCTGAGGAGGAAGACAGCCTGAAGACCAAGAGTAGACACTCTCCGGTAATGAACCACTGAACTGTGGTTCGTTAGAAACTCTTTTTGAAAATTGGATAGTATGCTGCTTAATGCTATATTGCTGAAGGCTAGGAATCACAGTTTCAGTTAAAGAAATTGTTGAATGTTAGAGGTACTTTTGTGAACAGCCAAGCTCTATTTTGGTAACTTGTTAATCTTAAAAGCAGAAGATACTGAGTGACTGACGTTTAGAAATACCTGTTTTTGCAGCCTATGCAGACATCATTATATAGTACAAATTCAGATTGTAGCTTCAGCTCTGGCCAAAGCAAATAGAAATTTATGTTTCAGTACACACAGTTATGCAATTCCCTACTTAAAAAAAAAAAAAAAAAAAGCAGCAACAAAAAACAGATCTCCAAAGCTGTCTGTCTTCCCTTTTGCAAAAGTCATGCATCTGTGTGAATAAATGAATAGTACTGGACAGGATTATGAGACATTAGCTACATGACACTTGGTAGATTCTGCAGGATTTCAGACCGCCTGAAATGTACTTTAGTAGTATTAATGTGTTTCTAGGTATAAACATTCTTAGAATTGGGGGTTGGAGTTACCTTGTCTGTGTCCTTTTGCTAAAGGACTGACGGATGAATCCTACCCAGAGAAGAGATTTGTGGGCAGGAGGGGAGAATTTTCACTACTTCTTCATTCAGGGGAAAAAAAAAATTAAAAATTGATATTCATCTGTATTTGTGAATAGATATTAATTATGGTAGTACAAAACAGATCTCACTGTTAACTTTTTGCAGTTATTGATGACGCTAGTGGTGGAATCCAGTTATTAGTAAATGTCACTTAGAATGTGTGTACTTTTGGGGAACAAGAGCAAAGGCAGTTTCTTGTGCAAGGCCTAGTAGTATGCAAATGTATTATTTTTCCATGTGCTCAGTAAATCATGGAAATATTTTGATCAATCTGAAATTATTCACCCCATTTGCTCACTGAAGCTAAACCTTGTAAAATTTGGAGAACTTTGATATGACTGTTCCATACTATGGTTTTGATCTGAAGTGATATAACGTGTGGTGCCGGGAGAGGTGGGAATCTGTAACAACACCTCAAGCTGATCAGAACTTTGAAGTGGACTTTTTTCTTAAATTAAACACATTAGATTATCTGAGTAGCTTGATCTAAATTAGCTCTTCTCTAGTGAGGTGTGGGACTGTTGCTTACAGGGATCCTTTCCAGCCTGTGATTCCATGCACTCTAAACCTGTTTTATTACAAAACACAACAACCCCCTCCCCCCAAAACTGAAAGGAGTAGAACAACTTAAGTTTCTATTGTATATATATGTATATATATTCTATTTTTATATAGATATATTCTATTTTATATAAATATGTAATATATATAAAATATAAACCACTTAAATTTCTTACATTCCTGGTTGACAAACTGGATCTCAAGGAAGATGTGTGGGTTTTTTTTTAATTTTTGCTTGGCTTTTGCTTATCTTTGAGAGTTGGCTGTATATAACCTCACTCCTCAGTGCTCGTTGCATGAGTCTCTGCATCTCAACTGAGTGTGCGGGCTTCTCCTCATACTAAAAAAGGTATACTGAAGTAAATGGATGAAATTCTCTGTAAGAGAAGTGAAGATCAAGGTTTAGTGGCTGTGCCAATATGTGTATTTAAAAACTAAGGGAAGAAGAAAATTACTTTACCAGGAAAAAAGTTTGGAATATGGGAATTTATGTGAGAGAAGACTCAAGAAAACAAGATACTGCTGAGACATGGTCTGCAATTTCATTATAGGAAAACAACTCCATAAAACTCATTTCTATTAGCATCTTCAGGCCAGAAAAGCAATTTCAGACTTCGGCTAGAATGATCTTGCTTCAGTAAGTACATTATAATACTGAGTCATCTTAATAGAGTCATTGTCTTATTTGCAGATTCCACTAATTCCTTAGGCTCAGTCTACCTGCACCTGAATCATAATCTCTTTAACCCTCTGCTCCAAAACATTCTGAAATACACTATTATTGCCACTTTTTAGAAACTATTGAAGTTGTTTATTCTATGCAGCAAATACATAGTTTGTTAAATGCTGTGGCACAAATGAAAGGGTACATTGGAAAATTGGGGGAATAATGTAAAACGTCAGTGTTGAATGCTTCAGAGTCCTTACATAAGGCATTATCAAAGTGTTTGTATTTTGAATTTACGGCATTTAATGATTGATAAAGACTTTGTGACCCCCAGTGTAAATTCTAGAAAGAAATGCTTATTTTTTGAATTCTAGAGAATTGAAGTATTCATTTCATTATGCTAGAAACTCTTGGCCTTTTATGTGTATGGATTTAAAAAGAAAACAATTCATTTGTTTGAGTTATTCTCATTTTTAAGTAAGTTTTTATGTTGTCTGAAGACATAATTTTATTTTTTAGAAATACATATACTATGTGTATGTCTCTGTGAATTGCTTTAATATTGAGGGGAGAATAAATACAGTTTCAGCTGTATGTAAGTAATTTATTGTACTTCACTGATAAGTGCAAGCGAAATGGCAAGTCTTAATTTTATTCTGAGTCTTGGTATGTATAAATCCATGGTTTAGTATTCTTTTTAAATCTCTGAAATATATATGTTCAAAGATTGATACAGGAACCAGATGATGAAAAACATTTTAAATATCTTTATTTTTATCTTATACATGATCTGATTATTTTCCCCCAAATAGATATGCTTCTGATGCCAGTGTTTAAAAATTCATGAACAGAGGGTTGTAGTAATGAGTGCTTAATTGTATTGTTTATATTTTGCAATTTACTATGCTAAAATTTAAAAAGCAGAAATGTTTTTACTAATGAGTTTGAAAGCTGACAGTTTCAGAGAGCATTTTGCAGAAGCGGAAGCAGAAGCAGCAGGGGAAAAAGAAAATGAATTTGTTTAGCATTAATTAACTAATTCTGTCTGCATCCTACTTGACTACACATTGTGGATTTGTTTATAAAAATTTCTTGAATACACATTCTGTACTGTAAAAAATGCTATTGATTGTCACGCAAAGCTAGATAAGGGAAACACTGTAACTGCTTATCAGTCTGAAATATAATAGCAGGCCATTTTAGTGGTTATAAGTAGGCAGTGAAGTGTCGCCTAAAAGAAAGCCATATGACTTGCACACACTTGCAAAATCATACAAGTGAAGCACCTGCTTTTGAATTCCCATTTTAATGGGTGTGTCACTTAATCCATTTGGTGAAAATCACTTTGTCACTCCCAGCTTTTATTTCAAGTGTCAGTAGCTGTGCTACTAGTATTGCAGTTGCATAAGGGGACTGGAAAGAGCAGTGCTGCTTTTAGAACATAATTGTTCAGGTGATCTCTGAGTTCAGTACAGGCGGCTGTTGTATATCTGCTTTGACAATAATAATTGACGCCAGTATAACTTCATAGCTGGATGGGACACTGACATATCATATCGCTCTTGTTTTATCAGCTTCCGCCCCCTTAAAAACTTCTAAGGCAGTGTCTTTTGGTGAACAGTTACATACTTGTATAAAAATAAGTTCTTTGATGTGCTAGTCTGCAAGTGGTGTTTTCCTTTGTTAGTGGACAAGTTTTGGAAAATGATTTTTAATTCTGTGTATTCCTTTGACACCGTTGAGCACTAAAAATAATCTTGGCTTGCTTACATCAGCTTTAGTATCATGTGTTAAGAGGTGAATGAGGGCTTGGCACTTTTTAAGTAAGTGTGTCTGTGGAATTGCATTATCTAACAATTTGTAAAAGAGCTTTTAGAATAACAAGATAACTAAACAATAGGGCTGTTTCATGCCACTTTTCCAGAGTGTTCTTATTCTTGGAATATGTCTTCTGAGGTGCAAGTTCTAATGACATATTTGAACCATCAGTTGAAAAACACCTCTTGGATCTTTGGTTGTACTCAGAAGCTTGTAAATGAAACAACTTTAAAAGTTAAGACTGTGCATTCAGAGGATTTGTGTTGAAGGCTTGCTGTGCTAACAAAATGAATTTCTTTATATTTAGGTTACTGTTCGCAAAATCACAGTAACAGGTTTTTGCTGTAAATATTGAACATATTTTACTGAGTAAAACTGAGTAAGAGTGTACTTACAATTTGTTATGACACCATAGCAAGCCACTGCTAAAGCAAAAGAAGGACACAACACTTGTGAAAGTCCTGGAGACAGTATGTAGTCTTTGTCACTTTGATATAGTCTTGAGTATAAATCTGTACATAAACATCTACTTACATGCAGAATCTCTGCGCATGTACATGATATCAGTACAATGTGTTCATTTTAAACGGGTGCCGTGTTCCAGGGCATTATAGTGTGTGTGTAACTTCCAAATACTTACTGTTTTTTCTCATACCTTGTTTTGTGACAGGATGACGAAGTAGTACTTCAATGCGTTGCCAGTGTTCACAAAGAACAAAGGAAGTTTTGCTTGGCAGCTGAGGGACTTGGGAATCGCCTGTGCTTTTTGGAACCAACATCAGAAGCTAAAGTAAGAAATAGATACTCTCAACTGGTGTAACTGATCAATGAATGTTAACCTACTTATTATCCACGAATACATTTAATTACAGTTTCTTTAAGGTGATGCTAGAGGCACCTTTTTTATGCTTTTGTTTTTGTGACTGCAACATGGGTTTTCTTAGAGATTCTAAATATACTTCGAGGCATACTTGTTAACAGTCAAAAGCCACTATTCTTTAACAATCTAAAATAGTTCTTGTAACTGAACTACTTCCTATTTTCAAGATTAAGTCTCCAGACTGTTACTAAGATTTAAGTTCACTAAAAAACTTATTCCTATTAGTGCTGTAGGTTCCAATATCTTGACATACTGGACTGATAATTTTAGAAGCATTGTCACCTGTTACTGGCGTTAAGTGTAGCTTCTAACTGTGTTGATTAATCAGAAAGCTGAGAGTACAGGGAACAGAATGATTAAGTAATTGAAAAGTTTTAAAGATAACAAGCAGAAAATAGAAAAAAGCTAGAGAACTGTGAAGAAAAAAGAAAAGAGAGTAGTAAGAGGAGCTTGATAGGAGAAAAGAGAGAAGAGATAAAACTAGACCTGTACTAGAGCAGAATGTTAAGAATAAGGCAAATGGGCAAGGACCTCTTCCCTCTCTTTGTTCTCGATGCATAATTTTATTTTTATTTGTTGTGTGTCTATTTTTTTTCTCTTCTTCCTGATAATATATTTCTCCTGATTTTTTTAGTGGGGTCTGTGTCTTTTCTCTTGAAATGTTGCCATGTGGTCCTATTTTTAGCCTGGGTATTATGACCATGTTACATTCACAGTGTTTATTTGTGCAGTATGAGAGGTCCTTATTAATCTCTAAGGTGAAAAATTATGCTGCTTCTAAATTTGCATTTCTTTGCATTCCAAGAGTTCAGTCAGATAATTTGTCTCTGGTCTACTTTACGAATCGCCAATAATCTTTTCACATGCTTAAGTAAAAGCAGGTTGTTTTCACATAGGTAGTTTCAATTGTTGTCTTAAAATCTTCAACAGTGATTGGGAATTTCTTATTCATCGACAGCTCAGTGTGGTCTGTTTATTGCTGACGATGACCATCTCAGTCTGTAAGACAGCATGGTGCTCATCTTATAATAAGAAAAGGAGGAATGGTATGAATTACTGTACAATGCCATAGATCTGCTTTATATTTCGTGTCTTAGTAGCAGGTAATAACTACAGAAGCTTCTGAAGTTTATTTAAAATTAAGAGGTTCAGAAAACTTGTATGTAACTGCTTTAAAAGAGCTTACGGAGGAGCTTTCTGAACTGCTGGTCTTAACTGAGAACAGTCAAGAATTTTGGAAAAAGGCATGTAAAGATATCTGTTTGAAAATTAAGAAGGTAGAAGGTTGATCTGGATGATTAGAGAGTACAATACTTACCAACAACCCTTAGTGATGAAGCTTATTTTGATTTCCGTATGGCGAAAATTTTGGTTATGAAATAAGAAAGAAACAAACTCAAAATGGCACACATCCAGTGGACTAAAAAATAGATATTGAGTAGATGTGTTTCTAATCAAATTCTACAGGATTCTCTTCTCACTGCTATGTTGTTGAGTATTTTTGTCAATTAAGACATCATTTAAATTAACATATGCAATTTTTCAGATGATAAAAAAGTTGGGGAACTGGCAATTGATGAAGCCATGCCACACAGCAAGACCTGAAGTGCCTTGTGTATTAATAGAAAGTAGAGGTATATTTTAGTGCTGCCAGTGTGAAGTCTAATAACTGAGTGTGTAAATATGCTTACAAAATGGGAAACTATTCTTTTTCCCTGTAAGGAATATGAAGGTCATGGTGGATGTTACAAAGTCGTAAGTTCCCTGAGTGATGATGTCCTCAACGGATCTAGCATAGTGTTTAGAGATATAAAAGAAGCAAGCTTGTTAGGAGATGGGAAGTTATATTATCTCTGCAAATTTGAGGGGGTTTTTTATTACCTCTGTGGCAATGCTGCTGGAATACAGAGTACAGTCATGGCATTCAAATTCATGTTAATTCGATAAAATGGAGATTGCTCCAGGAAGTGCTGTGAGAATCATGATTGGAGGAGGACACACTCTGGTTTAAAAAAGGAAAGAATGGACACCGCCCATAAGCTTCTAAAACAGGAACATTGATGACAGAAGTCCTTTTATTTTAGACAGCAGAAAACTGTCCTTCCTGTTAAAATGGTACTGTTTACCTGAGGTGGGTTCCTTATCCCTTCCTTATCCTTGGAAATTATTTTATAAAGTTAAGAAGAAATTACATTAAAGAAGACGCAAGGTACTTTTACCAGCAGAAGTCCAGAGCAGAAAATCGAAGGATACTGTCTACTACCTTCTCTTCTCCAGTTGACCGCTTTAGCAAAGCTGAAATGTGTTTGCAGGACATGTGACAGCTTCTTCACTCATTAAGTTTTGGCTAAATATTGTTAAATCAAGAAAAGAAGTGCTTTTCCGTTCAAGTAATTCTGGAAAACATAACAAGATAGACAGGAAAAAAAAAACCTTAATGTATTTGTTAATTGCAGAATGAAAAGTTGTAACTTCATGATTAATATTTTAATCTGAGTTGTATGTAGTAAAAGTCAGAGGATCGAAGTAGCTAAAAGGAAAGGGAGGCAAGGAAAGAGACGGTATATTTCTTAAAAAAAATTTTAAAAGTTCTTAGAAACTTAAAGAGGAAAAAAATGCTGTTTCTATGGTTTGCCTTAGCTGTTTTAATCATTTTTGTGACATGCTGAAGACAATAACAATTACGAGATACTTCTGTTAAAATTTTACTATAAATCCATAGCGAACTTGCATGTTATTTCTTGACAACTTATTAGTAAAAACTATTACAGTGTTGGTTCACTAATAATTTATATTATGGTGACTGGATTTTAATGCACTTTTTAAAAGCAGTTTTGCATTAATTCTTGAGTGTGAAATTGTGTTCATCCTGTCCATATGGCTCCTTTTTGAATTGTCAGAAGATGTTTGCTTAAATAATGTCTGATATTTAAAATGTAAGGGGAAAAATTTAGTTAACTAGAGGTGAAAAGTTATTTTTTGTACGAACAAGAAATAGCGGAGTTATTGAACGATGTGATTTAGTTACATTACTTAATTGCTGTTTTCCTTGTTTTTAAAGTGATACTTTAAAAGATTATGTATTTCAAAGCTGATAATCTAGTGCAGCAAGGCTAGCTTCTACCAATACCTAAGAAAAATATACCTGAAAAGTAATTTCAATGTATTAACATCTCTTTTAGTAGCAAAATTGTTACGTAAACTTAAATGCCTGAAGGGAATTATAATTAAGAGAAGATTTCTGTCCTAATGACAGAATGTAATAGTTTACAGTATTACAGTGGTAAAGGTAAACCTAGTAAGTCAGTAACCTAGTAAAACAGCTTATGTCAGTGTTTTTTACACTGCAGACCAGAAGCTATGGGCAAAGATTTGGTTAGTAAGCATACCACCTGCAAGAATTTAATGTTATGATAGTGCCTGGAAGAATATAGAAGTCTGAATACAGACAAATGAGGTATATTCGGTGTTACGAGTGTGTTGATGGAAAACCGATAACTCTGCATGAAAGATCTGTTTCGAAATAATCTCAGAAATAAACATTTTCTTCTTATGAAAAGAACAGCTGTCAGGGTAGAACTGTCAATTGCTTCTTCAGTTTTACTTTGCAAATTTGTGTAGGTTTCCTATATCAAATTTGTCTTTTTGTTTATCTTCCTGTACATATGGACAAAACTGTGCAGAGGTGTGCTGGAAGAACTCCTCAAAACTTTCATTGACTTTGAAGAACTATTTATTCCAAATTCCTGTTTTCTTTTATCTTATATCTTTTCAGTCTACTTGTTCTGCTAAACGAATTCACTTACAGTAATGCTTGCTCAACATATCTTTGAATGCCTGTAAAATAAAATACTTTATTCTCCACTTGAATGTTTTCCTTTATTGATGATTCTCGAAAATAATGTTGTCTTACTTCTGTATGTTCATTCCAACTTCCCATAGCCAGAAGGGAGATGAATATTTACAGGAGATTTCTAAAACCTTGTCTTAGTACCTGCACAGATTTTGGTTTTCATTTCAGCATAAAGATTCCTGACACAAGTATTTCCCCATCTTCTACCTGTAGCTCTCACCTCTCGATATTCTTGTTTCACTGAACATGCCTTTTTGGCACTTTTTTTGGTGGGTTCCATTACAACACAACACTGCTCAGAATTGGGGAAAAAAAAGCATAGATTAGCAGATGGTCAAGATTTTATTAAAATCTTTTTGGTTGTGTGATTATTAAGAGTGTAAAATGGTCTGCCACACAGAGATTGTTGAATATTAAACTTATGAAATGGTCTCATTTGCAAAAAGACCAGAAAACAAATGAGCCTTGACAGACTCAATAGTTAATTTCGGTTGTGGTTTTTGGTGGGTTTTTTTTTAAAAAAGGAAACAATCTAGATTAATTAAGGAGGTCGGTTGCTACTTAGGTCCACAGAAATTACGTTTCACTGCTATTTCTCAGGTCAGTGAAATTTAAAAAATAATTTCTTGCCATGCAACCACAGAAATGAGGTATGTGATAGCATCCATGTGTTCGCTTGTTGTGTAACACTGGAAGCTTGAAAGAGGTGTTAGCTGCTCTAAGTCCTGGGTGGAAAAATCATTGATTTCATAGTTGTCAGTGTCAATATTCTTAAATAAAGCTGAATGCTTTGCACGCTATGGAAAAGAATAAGAAGTGAAAAACTAACTGCGTTAACCTCAGAGGTACATTTTATACAAACTGAGACTAAGAATTCATTGTTTTAGAGTGTGTCTTTCATTACTGTAGCACTAAAGTAAGAGCTGCAACAGTTTTCAAATCAAAGTGCAGCCTATGTGGAACAAGACCAGTGGCCAGGGAAGCAGATGGGAGTTCTTTTGTTCAGTTGGTAGGTGTTGGATCATACTGATGATGCCATATTCAGTTTGGAGTGGGATTAAGTGCCAGAGATAGTCTGATGATGATTAAAACTATATGACCAGCTGTGTTATTTTTTTCCCAGCTAAAATTCCAGTGTAGTTTCTGAATTTAAGTTCCATGTTGAAAACAGAAAGTTACAAAGATTGTTGGGTTTTGCATTGTTGTTTTTTTTTCTTGTTTCTCTTAAATTTGAATGTACCTCAAGGACAGCGTGGTTTAATACATACTCAAAACGTCTTAATGAAATGGGTGCTGCATAATCTGAAAGCTGCCACAGGATGACAACAGAAAAATATCTGTTTGTTGGAGTTTGTTTTTTTTTAATAATGATGTGGCTTATTTGCCTTCTAGATGCGATTAAAGGCAGTAAAGTAATGGGTGAAGTATTACTCAGAGGTTTTGTTTATCTATCTGGTTCATTGGGAAGTAAAGACTACTTAATGTTGTATGGATTTTTATGTTCATAGCAGTAAAATATTCTAAATAAGTCTTTCCAGACTTTACTAACAAGTATGAGACACAAAATCTAACCTAGTTTTGTTTGTAATTCATTTCACTGAGAAATGATGTCTTTCTGTGTCTAGTTGTATGAGAGGCCTTGAATGTAACCTACTGAAAAGAAAACTTCCAGTTACAATCTGTGTGCACGTTTGCCTGTATATGGCTGCTACATGCACACACGCACACACACACACAGATAGTATGAGATTATATAACAGAGTATGGTGTGTGTGTATGTACACAGATGCAGTTAATGAATGCTAAAAAACCCGGTACACCATAGTGGAAATGAGTATTACAGGTATTACAGTTTAAGTTGTTCCTGTTGCAGTTAATGAAATGACGAACTACTTGCTATTTACAGTTATTTAGTCATGTGAGAAAGATGCACAAGTTCATTTTACCTCAATAAAATATGTAACAATTATATCTGTATCTAATGTACGCAATTTGAATGTCAAGTCTTTAGCCTAAAATTCACTTCCAAACTATTTTTGAAAACACCAAAAAAAAAAAAATTAGAGTCTACAGTAGAGATCAAAGGGTGGAAATTCTGAGACTGTACTTGATTAGCTTGCTATAAAGACTTCACTTCAGCATGTTTAGAAATATCTTAATTGTATCATTTCCCTTTTCACCACCTTAAAACTCAGCATTATCAAGAATTTTGTTTCCTCCTGTCACTGATTTCAGAAAAGAGAAAGGAGTGTATATCTACTTTAAAGCTCACGCATAGCCATGATCTATATCATAAAACACAGAATACTGAATCCTTGTGGTGGGAAAGGACCTGTGGAGATCATAAAGTCCAATTCTTCTGCTTAGAGTAGGTTCAACCAGCGCAGATTGCTCAGGACGCTGTTCAGTCAGGGTTTGAGTATCTCCAAGGACAGAAACTCTGTAACCTCTCCGGGCAACCTGTTCCATTGTTTGCCACGCTCACAGTAAAAAAAGGTTTTCTTCCTCATGTGCAAATAGAACTTCATGTGTTTCACTTTGTGTCAGTTTCCTCTTGTCCTTTTACTGGGTACTACTGTGTAGAGTCTGGCTGTGTCTTCTTTGTACTTTCCCGTCACATAGATATATACATTGATGATTCCCTTGAGACTTTTTTTCTTGAACACATCAATGTGAATAAATTGAAAAAAAAGTCTGCTGTTCATGAAGTGAATGTAAATTTCATGTTTCAAAACCAGCAGATGTATTGATCCAACAATTGAGAAGATCTCCTAAAGTAGTTCATATTATTATATCGTAAGATTCTTAATCTTTGTCGTTTAATGACAGCTATAAATGTGTTCAGAGTGTCAACCTTATACATCAAATAAGATCGTACACCTTCTCTTCTGTTTTGTCAGTGACATTAGAGAACGAATACAATGTTGATGGTTTAATTCTGAAAGACAGGAACGCAATAATGTGTCGAGAAAAACTTTGCTTTTAAACCTGAAGGTGTTTTGTTTTACTGTGAGGAATACAGCTCTAGGAAAAATAAAGTTACTGCACTGACAAGATGTGAAGAATGGATGCATATGATTTTCATATAGGGAGATAGCACATATCTCAAACACAAATGAGTAAACATTATATATGGATTTTAAAATGAAAATACATGTGTGTTCAAAGACACTTTTCATCCCGTTTCATCTGCTCTGCAGATCTATTCTTACATGGTTTAATTTACTTTTACAGTATGTTCCTCCAGACCTTTGCATCTGTAATTTCGTCCTTGAACAGTCCCTATCTGTCAGAGCCCTTCAGGAAATGCTGGCCAACACAGGGGATAATGCTAGTGAAGGGGTAAGTAAATTGACATCAAGGAATATTAAATTTATGAATATGGATTGTTCTCATTTCTTTACTTGCTCCAGGATTTTCTAGGAGAGGGGTATCACGTCATAGCAGATTCTTCAGTTTTCCTGTTTTCCTGGGATGTTATTGCTCCACTACTATGCTCATATTAATTTTGCTTTAGCATTGAGGAGTAGGTGCAGTTAGTCTTTTGAAATATTTACAAAGCCCAGAAGCGTCATCTTGAGAGATCATTTATTACCATCAGTCCAGAACTGGATACTGAAAAAGCAAAAAGAGAACCCTTGGACTGAGTCTGGCTTTTATGAACCTGAGGAGAGTATATGTAAATCATTGCCGTAAAAGCATTATTGTATTATAGTGCTATTTATTAATGGGAAAGCAAAATAATTTTCTCATCATGTAAATATTTATCTTATTTCACAGAGCTAAGAAAATATTTCAGGTATTTGGATTTAGTTTGATTTATTCTTACATGAAGTTAAGTACTATCAATGAAACAAAGTGACAAATTTGTATCTAATTTACTTCAGATATAAAAGTATGGTATTTTTCTTTGTAGTTGTGTAACTAAACTGTTTCGAGGTGTTTAAACTGGTAACGAGCAAGAACTGTTGGATAGAAATAGTTATTTCGAAATTCTCTTTAGGTTTCTTCATCTTTTACTATATTAGCACAAGCATACTTACTGGAATGCTTACAGTATAGTGTAAAGTGACATTCCAGTAAAGTGAAATGTTGTAACTATGCTTGCATTTTGTATTACTGATGTTTTAATTGAATTATCACTTCAAATCTAAGATATACTAGGAATGACTGAAACAGGACTTCCACACTGGAGCAATCAGAATGCCAAAAAATCCCTGTGCACTTTATTGTATGTTATTTATTATTGACAAGGTTATTTAAGAACTGTATTTTTCATGGAACTTCTAAGCTGTTTGTTGGGTAAAAGGTGATGGTGTTGTAAATAAAAAAAAACCCAAGCCTAATCCAAATGCCAGATCCAGATTTGCCTGTATCTTCAATGATCTGTGTGAACAATGATAATTTTTCAATGGTCAGCTGAACCTCATTGCTCACTGTTGAGATGAGACAGACCTACCACTCATCTATGCACTAATACTCCCAGAAGTTTTAAAGTTACACTTGCTATTGCATCTGTGAATCGTATTTAAGTAGGTAATTTAGGTAAATTGTCTAGTTTTATATACTTAGATTGAACTTGTATTTCTCTGAAAGTAAATGACAATAACCTATCATCTCCACTCAGTTGGTCACTGCTCTGTTATATTCATGTGTATACGTTTTAGGTTTTAGGAATTTAACATAAAATGTGACATCACCTTTATGGTTTTCTTCTATTCACTGGACAACTGAAATCTGAAAAAAAACTGGAAATGCCATTTCTTAATGTATAGGGTGAAGTATTATTAACAAATTAATATTAAATAAGACTTCACAATGTTTATTTGTTAAGACAGATTCTGTAATTGATTTTCTGGCACTGTGAAAACCACAAATCTTGTGTAAATAAAAATCTGCATTTTGCGCTCAGAGTTAAATTTGTTAGCAGTCAGATGTATGTGTCTTAAGGTTGACTAAACTCTTGAATTTGTTGTGTGCAACCTCAGTGCATTGATGTTTAGCATACCTCTCGATTTTTGCTGCCTCATCAGATAAGCTCACTATTATCTTCTATGATGCTGTGCTTTAATTGATTTCCCAGCATAGTCCAAAAACCTTGGTGGAAGACTTGATTGCTTTGACCCTAACTGTCCAATTTCAGTTGAACTGAATTGAATTGAACTTTTTTTCTCTTACGAACAGAGCATGATAAAACTCTATGGCTTTACTTATTTTATGAGCCTAAATGGCAACTAATTATGATGCAAATAATCCGCAGAGCTAGATAGTGTATTAGTTTTCATCTTTATTTTATGTAGAACCAGAAAACCCATATTTTGTTCAAGTTGTAATTTTTCTTTTATTGTACTTCTACACAGATTTAAGACTCTGTCATATTAAGTAAAAGGAAAAATGGATGTCTGAGGAAGAAACGAAACAAAAATATGAGTGATGTCAGTATTAGCTAATGAAATTTACTTAAAGACATTATTTACTTCAGAAATGTTTCTTACTGTAATTTTTTTTGGATCAAATATAAATTTATGCTGAATTTGTTCCATGATGAGAGATTTATTTTGAGTTTTTCCTGGGATTTATATACTGTGCATCTAGTACAATCTTAAAAAATAAAATAGGATAATATGTGGGAGGAGGAGGATTTTATGATTTAGGTAAATATCCTAGAATGGAGAATCAAAAGGGTGTTTTATTTACTTGAGGCTAATTTTTTGAATGTCATATCCATCTGTGCAGCAGTGATATGTTCAAAATGTGTATTATTTTTCTAAAGATGAAAATGGCTATAGAATAATTTTTTTATATTTTTTCTCTTGAATTATAAATTGCTATTTATTCCGCAGTCTCTTCATTATTGTGCAAAAATTCACTGTTTTAGAACACTTTTCAATTTTATCTGTTTGTAAATCAGATGCATCAAAGCACTTATATTAAACATTTGTTGCCCAACAATGAGTCTTGTTTCTTGCAGGAAATCTAAGGGTAACTCTAGCTGTTACTGGCTGTGCAATGATTGCTTATTGAAACTTTTAGTAGACTGTGTGCTCTAGGTGATATGGAAGGAAAACCAAATTGTTTCTGAAACCATTTTTATTTTTCAAAAAGATAAAAGTAAAGTTGGTCAACTATATATATATTAACTTATAAAATTTTCATTTGAAATCAAACAATTTGCCAAACCTTTATATCATCCCAAAGAAACTAACACTAATGACGGAACTTGCCTTTTGTTTTTTTTTAAAAATTAATTAATTGCTGCAAGCATTCAAGGTGAGCTATGGAGTCTTTTATTTCTGAAGGAAGAAATTTCACTTTGCAAGATGGCTTATCAATTATATAAAATTATAAGGATGTTTAGAATGCTTCTGGATTAAAACTCCCCATGATTTAATGCGGATCAGTCGATATTAAATGACTAGAAACTAGGATTTGTTTTCAACTGTATAACGTGGCTGCAGAATTTAAATTTTAAAAAATGAAGAGAAGGTTGCTATTTAAGAATGGTTGACAAGAAGGTGTGAAACTTTATAGTTTTATGCTTTCACAATTTTACAATGCCGTCTTCAGTACCTACCTTTCATTCTATTAAAGAATATTAAATTTCTTTCTCTGTAAGCTTGTTTCCATTGAACTTTTAATGTGGAAATCATATCAGTTCAATTAGGAGATCTGTCTGTTTTATGCTCTTGTAATCCTCTAAGATAGGCACAGTTCAGCAGACTAAAATCATGAGATGCGTTTTGTATTATAATCAATGGATAGTGACTGTAAGTCTGTAGGAGTGCAGTTTAGGATAAACTGCAGCAAGTGTCTGAAAATGCCCTGAGGTATTGTGTACATTGTGAACACTGTTTCCGTAGTATACATGGTGGAATGAAGTAATTTCTAATGACTAATTTTTTAATGTTTTGAGACAAATGTTGCAGATTCATCCATTTAATACTCAAAACTTCAGTGATAGAAGTCCAGTAGGCTGCCATCAGTTGTTGTTTCAAATTCTTAAAGGTAGTGATTTCATTATTTTATTTAGTATTTTAGGAATTTCTTTCATGGTACAGTATTAAAATTGAACTATGGTAGTAAGTCATACATCAGCATACATAGCAAAATAGCGTAACTTTGTATATTGAGAAATTCTTGAATACATCTTGGGAATGAACTCTTTTGTACCAAATTGGCAAAGCTTCTAAATAGTATATAGACTAAATCATACAATCGTGAAATTATTTGATACAAATTTCAGCCTTTACCATAATAAACAATTATTATTATAGCTTATAAATAAAAATCCTTATATATCTTACAAATTAAGAGAGAAAAATGATCGTCAAATAACAAATATGGATTCTGTTTCAAAAATATGTCAGCTTGAAGAGAGAAAGGAAAATAAATGGATGTCTTACGATCACTTGTTTTAATTCCATATGAATTGGCCATTCTTGTAGCCTTCTTTCTTGTTTAGGTTCCATGGGGATGAGATATGTGCTATAGAAAGACTGTGTATTTATATGTATTCAGAAAGTCTTCAGTATTTCAGTTAATGTTTTCTCATCACATGCCGTTTGATTAATGTGTTAAATTCTTCCTTAATTTTTACTTTTTGAGAAGTAGAAGGATCTTTCTTTTTCTCTGTAGCTTAGCAGCAGAATAACTACAACCTAATGGCTTATTCTGCCCTCCAGATCTGTAACTGGCCCACGTTATGGCACAGCTCAGGGCAGCTGGAGTTCTGCTCTGTCACCTGCAGTCTTGCAATGTCAGCCTTTGCATACATGGTTTGCAGACCTCATTGTTATTGACATCTTGTTTTCCACTGTTTTCTCCAGTTTAAAGTGTAATTTTTGATTTTTGCAATTACATTACTTTCTATAAAATGAAACTCTTGAAAAAACCATTTACTTAGGGAAAGTAAGGTTGATTTAAACACTTTTAGGACACCTAAGCACTAACACAATTTGTAGTATTTCCAAAATTTTCACCCAAAAACTTAGCCAAAGGATTTAATCTGAGATTACTAGTAATATATGAATGTTTATATTTGGCAGCATAGAACAAATAATTGGCAAATTGATTGGCAGTAGAGGACAAATAATCTCTTCAGTAAAAATGAACATACTGTTGCTTTGGTGGCAGTGGACAATAAAAAAGAAAATATAGTCTGTTCTGTCACATTTCTTTTTAAACTACCTTGCCCTGCATTTATTTTGAAGCTGGGTACCATCCATTTGGGGAAATTGTAATAGTAGGAATACAGCAGTTCATATAAATAGCAAGGATGAAATAAAAATTGAAATCCTGAGCAGTAATGCAAGAAACTTTTTCTGGACCACAAGGATTTGTTACATTTAGAGAAGGTGGATTCTAATTAACTTGTCAACAAGCTGTTGGTAAAATGGATGGGTTATTTTTTAAGTTACAATTAACTGATTGTATTTTGAGACATATGTCATAACTACCAGTCAAGTTACATATTTTGTATTGTGAGGCACTGTCTTTAGCACCATGAAAGCAAATTGATATGGTAATATGTAATTTCTAAACTAGATTTCAGAAAAAGCTATTTTTGAGAGGAATAATACAAAATGCTGTCTTTGTAATAGTTATATATGTAGAGAAAAATGACAACATGAAATACAGGAATGCACATCTTAAAATGTTCATTTATGTTCTGTTATCAATACAAAGGCCTTGCTAAGAATAGAATTTGGCCTCATATAAGTAACATTAATCTTTCATTGATTCCACCAGTCTGTCATTCCATTGAATGGTTTGCTTTCCATATTAAATTTAGTCTGGAATAGAGTTCTGCTGTTAGTTTCAGATTTTTCTAGAGGAAGAACGCTGCTTATTTAATTTTGGGGTTTTGTTGTGTGTGTTTTGTTTTTTGTTTTTTGTTTTTTAAATGAGTCAGCCTTAAAATTACAAGTGATTCACTTAAAAGCTTTCACTAAAAAAAATAGCATGAGGTGTTCTATTGCTTGTTCTCAGTATGTGTTTACTTTGTACAAACTGACTACATGTAATTTTCTTCTGACAACCTGTCTGTGATTACAGGTGCTTTTGCTGTAGGTTTTCCCCGTTGATTAAAAAAAAAAGTTGTAATTTAGAAAAGAATTATTATATACATTGTTACATGATGTTTTTCCGCTGTTCTTCCCCAAGCAGTGATAAGTTCCTACAGGGTATGTTAATAAAACCATTTTTTATGGATGACATATTTTGGAGGAGCTCTTGGGATTTTTTTATTTATTATTTCTGATCAGCCTTTTATAATGATATCTAAAAGTACGTTATGTTCTCTGAATGACCAGAGACAGCTATCTTACATTTGTCTCCGTTTTTTCCCAATAATCTTAACACATTTTTGATGTGGGTCCAAAAGTCATTATCCAGGAGTTTGGGATTTTTTAGTTGCTACTGGGTGTACTGAGAAATTTTATATAATTGTATGGATCATATTGTGAAAGAGATTATACATATTATCCGTATAGTTCTGAGAAATTTCTCAATAAAATTTACTGCATAAAATTACATAAGACGATCTACTGTCTGTTAACAGCATTAAGTTCCAGTGTAACCAGGTCCCAAATCTGTATTTGTTTTGATGTCTGTTATTAGCTACAAAAATAGAAGTAGGATTTTTATTTTATTGCAGTTGTAATAAAAGACCTCTGCTGATGTTTATTCCTTTTGTTTGGATAAATAACATTTCATTTTTAATCCTTTGAATTAGTATTACGTATTCTATATGTTGAGCTACAGAATGTAGTAGTTTCCTCATCTTGATGTCTTCTAAGTTGGCGTTCTGTAGAACACAAGTAGTACATAGCTTGTAAACCTATTGACCTAATTGGTAATGTAACTAATGTTCATAGAGTGCAAAATCATTTGCCATTATCTGTGTTCCTAGAACTGCCTTTAATTATCTTGGTCCCTTCCACATGAATCCAAGGAAAAGAGCTGACCTTAAAGGCACTCCTTTCTAGCAATATATAACATAATAGAGTCAATCTCTGTTCCAAAGTTATATTTCAGGGAATCATCTTTCATATTTAATGATTGCTTAAATATACCTGAAACAGGAAGACCATAAAGTAAATGCTTTGTTAAATAAGGAAAAAGCTCTGTGTGTACTGGAATAGTTTCAAGCAATTACCTAAGTTTGATGTTAAATCAGCAATTTCTATACCTGTTATGAGGATTCTGATATCTGACCTTTTATTATTACTCAAGACTTATCAGGGGCAAATGTTGTAATTTATATGTGGTAAATATGATCTGGACTGAGAGGAAAAAAATGAAATATAATATTGTCCACGATAGTATAATTACTATTAACATTAGTCATGATATCCATAACTCTACAAAATTTAGGAAAGTGATCCTAAATAAGTGCTTTATATAATCTGGGATTGAGGATCTAAAAAAAAAAAAAAAAACCCCGAAAATCTTTGTTTCAGTGGAAAGTACCACAATAAATCAAGAATTTAATTTTTTTATCATATAAGGTTCAGTAGGCTTGTTACTTGCAAATAACTAGGAAATAAGATAGTAGATGCAGAAAAAGGATGAGAGGCAGACTTGAAAACCTAGGAAGCTTGTGGTCTGTTGGTCCATAGGTAACTTTGTCATTGAGAATCTTCCATTGGAATTTATTTTCTTGTGGTCATGATCTCGAAAGACGTGTTTTAAATTCTTTAAAAGAAGCATATGGAAAATCCAGTTTTGCCTCTGCCTGATCTTGCCATAAATTTCCATATTTGAAATTAATAACTGTCCTTGGCTGAAATTATGGATGCAGTTGTTTTAATGAATCTGGTAATTAATCCTAGAAAGTAGATATCGTTAGTATGTGCTTAAACAATTCTGGGCAATAGGTGATTTTTTCCTCTTTCAGATTTCGCTTTGTGTATGTGTATATATACTTTTTTTTTTTTTTTTAATGCTTCTGAGAAGTTTATAAGAAAGGTAAGTAGTGTCCTATTTAATTTAAAACATTTTTTTTTAATGCTGTGTTTTTACATAATTATAATAAAAAGTAGATTGCAATAAGAGTCTTTGACCAAGAAAAACATTTGTTCCCTTGGCTGGTGTTTGACTTTTGCTGTACCTACTTCATTATTATGATTTTTGCCCAGCATATACATTTCATAATTTGCTTGAATATTTGCAGTAGTTACTGGAACTGTCATAGTTCTTCATATTGTTATATAATTCTGATCATAGTCTACGTGGTGCCGTGGAGTTCTGAACTTCTCTCTTGTGTTCTGCAGGCAGCTCAAGGTGGTGGTCACAGAACCCTGCTGTATGGCCATGCTATACTACTTCGACATTCGTTTAGTGAAATGGTAAGTGAAAGAGGACTTGCGCAGAGTGAGTAACGTGAAACTCAAATAAATGTCTTTTTATCAAAATTAAAGAAATATATAAACTTGGAAGAATGTTCTAAGTTTTCTTCTGCACTAGATAAAAAAATTTGAATAGTTTTATGGTGTCTCAACACAATGGAAGTGGCCCTTATATTTAAAATTCAGATTCTTCAATGCATTTCACTTAGAAATGTAGCGGAAAAACTTCTTTAGCCATGGATTATTTCTGTGTCCTTAAGGAATCCGTTTTAGTGATAATTCTGTTAACAAGTTGCTGCTATTGCAAATGGATTTGTTGGGAGGTGTTACTTTTTTCATCATATTTTATAAGATAAGGTGTTCATTTTAGCACCCCAGTGTTCCCAGAGACTATGACCACAAATGTGCTGTCTTGAAGGCTACCTTGTTTAAATTTTGTTTCACTGTATTGTACAACTGGAAAATTTTAACTGTTCTGGACCTTTACTTATTAGGGTCCATGCAAGTATATCTGATAGGAAGTTGAAGAAATGAGAAGTCAATAAAACATCATCTCTCTGTCTTCCTGTACCAGACTCTACATTAGTCTTTAAACTCTGCTACTTATATTGATATACCAGGGTTGCAAGTATGATTACTGCATTCTGGTATGTTTGCTGTGTTTTCATGAAGCAAACTTCTTACAGTAATGCTGTAATAAGATGTTTACCTCTTCCTATTTGATGAACTATGTGAAACTTTGGAAGGCAGGAGCTAAATTGCACAGAGAAATATATGCTGAAGTGGAAAAGGATTTTGTCAGGAAGAGCTTGTATACAAATACAATGCTTAACTAATTTAAAAAATTTAAGCACACACTATTAGTAAGATGGAGTAATGTCAAAGTATTAATGTCATGTGTGTTAATGGATATTGTTGGGGTTTTGTTTTCAATAACTTCACTGTTTTGCAGTATTTGACATGTTTAACATCATCAAGATCCCAGACGGATAAACTTGCATTTGACGTGGGACTGCGAGAAAATGCAGCAGGTATGGCAAGTTATTTTTGAATGAAAACATGTCACACGTTTCTGGTTTTTGAAGAGGCATTGCGATTAATGGCACTTGTGAGCTTATGAATGTTATGTTAATGTGTTCATTTCAGTCGTAAGATGACGTAAAGTAAATGATGACTGTCAAGATTGATGACTTCAGAAAATTAACTGACTTTGTGTAACAAGGCAAGAGTGCCTTGCAATTATACAGAGTTACTACAACTGCAATAACACTAGTGATAATGAGCAAAGTTAAAAATTTTTGTTGAATCAAATAAATTTGATGTATTTGTTTTCTGCTAGTGTTGTTTGGCACTTTCAATATAATTAGAGTACAGAAAAGCCATACATGGGTGCATTCGCGATATACATTGTAACCACGTGACAAAAGCATGAAACTTGTAATACAGGAAAAGAGAAAAAATGTTATAAGCACATTGCTGAAAGAGCTGAAGAAAAATGAAAGCTTAAAATGGAGCAAAATAATAATGGGTCAGAGTGGAAGAGATACAACACAAACAAGAAATGATGAGAAAGCTTTAAAATCTAATGAATAGATTTCCGGGAGTACTGCCAGTAACAGCGCTGCTGACAGAAATACAGTAAAAAAGAATTATGCTTCCATGAAATCACATACAAATTATGAGATGCCACTGGGAGCTATGTTAAATGAATTTAAAAGCAACTCAGACACAAAGAGCCACAAATAAGTTTATGCGCTGCTGTATACATAGTGTTAATGGTTACTGAAAGTGATGAGTACTCATCAGAAAGTAACAGGTGACCCTGTAGTACCCAGGCCCAGACATATACCTTGAGGGAAAATCTAAGTAGCTGTATACACAGCTTATTAATTCAAAACTTCAAATGAAGAAATGCCAGTTGTATTAATAAAAAGCAGTGTTTTCTATTGTTTTTTCATTATTTTGAAAATATATGAAAATCAAAATAGGCTAATTGATGATGGAGAGGCATTGCAGTGTAGGTGTTAAAATGTTTGTGGGCCGTGATCTTTGAGAATTCCTTTTCAAGTGACTCTGATTATCTACATGTCCTTCTGTTTTGAATGAGTGAAGCTTATCTTTCAGTTGTTTGTAGCCATACAGAAGACGGTCTGAGACAGATATTAACAGCCTGTTACATGATTATATCTTTGCCACCTTAGATTGAGACCTTTTTCTTTAGGTGTGGTGAAAAAAGGAATATATGTTTTCTATCTCTCTGTAAATAATTTCAGTGAAATCTGTCTTTATAATTTTATATTTTTTTTTAGAGTTATTGTGCATATGTCTGCTTGTGCCCATGAGGTTTTGTAACGAATATCTGTAGTTGTCTCATACTGGATTTGCTTAACTGTACATATATATACACAAAGACCCTTGTACACGTAGGTAAGAGATAAAAAGCAACATATAAAGGGAATACTTAGTTGTCTTTCTGCACAGAGGATTTTGGTAACTACTGCATGCTTGTAAACCTCATAAACTGAATGCCATAATACCACTTCCCCTTGCCCTACTTCCCACCCGTGAAACTGTCCTATTGAATCAATTGCAGCTGCAGGAAGTATTCTTCACTGGATATTTAAAATTATTCTCTTTTAAAGATTTAGCACTTTACACTTTCGTTTTTAGGGATGTAACTTTTATTTATTATGTTCTTTATAATTAGTTTCATAACCTTCAAATTTTTTTTTAAGGAAGTTTACATGAAATTTCTTTGTTGGTCAAACAGATTTTTTGTGCTTTGTCGTATGCTACCCATCTTGCCTTTGTTTAATTTTGATTGCCCAGCAAGAAAGCTGTATTCGACTCATTTTTTTCAGGGTCTTAACACTGAAGCGTGTGAAATTGTGGAAGGAATTAGGTAATTTTCACAGAATCGAGGTGTGTACCAAGTAATCTAGAATATTATATTTAATGTGTAAGAAATATTCTATGGTTGTTGCCTCTAGGCTTTGTTATCCTGTAGTCATATGGTCTGTAGTGCTAATGGAACTGCTCCCAGAACTGATATTTCTAGTATAGCAATACTGTAAAGCATTTGCTTCAAAATTCTGTACTCTACAACATAAATGTACCTTAGAGTTCAAATAATACAGAAGATTGTGAATTAAATATGAACATTAAGCCAAAGAAGACACCAAAGGTGATAATTAAGACTGAGGTAGGTGTCCGCAATTTACTGGCAGTGAGAGCCTTGAAGGGAGGGCAGTTCTGAGCAGTGTTTTGCAAGTGGTTAGTTGCTTTAGAAAAATATGAAAAGAGAAATGTCAGCTTCAGTGATGACAACAATTGGTTGACCAAAAGTTTCAAGGAAAAAAGAAAGAAATTCACATGGATTGAAAAGAAGAATGAGGTGGGTTTATTAAGATGAATGTCATATAAGACACAGTTCTGTATTATGTTATTTCAATGTTGTATAAAGATATCCTTAAATTTCTTGGGAGTTGTCTGTTTTGTATACCCTCGATAAGTATCTCTGTCCTTTAGGTGAGGCATGCTGGTGGACAATACACCCTGCTTCTAAACAAAGGTCAGAAGGAGAAAAAGTTCGAATAGGTGATGATCTTATCCTGGTCAGTGTGTCCTCTGAAAGATACCTGGTAGGTTTGTTTGTTTGTTTAGCAACTGGATACATGGTGGAAAAAATACAAAGTGCTATGGGGAGTTGAGGAAAATGGTTGGGATTCTTATGAATGAAATTTTTTCTAATCTAGGAAATAATGCCTGATTGTAGTGCACTTTTTTTTTTTTTTCTCAGTGAAGGGTTTTCCCCCCCTAAAACAAGACTGTTTTCATGCCTTTATCCCAACGTTTACTTCAGCATTCTGAGTCTTGGGAATTTCTGTAGCTGTGGAAGATTTCTAAGCTGCAGCTGGACTCTGCTGATTTGATTTAGAAAAGAGTTCATTTTAAAAACAATTGACTACTAATGTTTAAAGAGTATTTGTATATTTACTTTATTATGTATTTCTATTTTAATGAGAAATTAATACATTAAATATTTTTATGTATGTAAATCTCACTGTTTCCTGTTACTGTTGTCTTATTTCAGCATCTCTCCATGTCAAATGGAAGTATTCAGGTGGATGCCTCCTTTATGCAGACGCTATGGAATGTACACCCTACATGCTCAGGAAGCAGTATTACAGAAGGTTTGTCATTTTATTTGTTTAAGAATGTATATACTTTAGATGACTTTTTATTGCTTTTCATAAAGAGTGAAAATGGAAAAAACCCAACTTCCTTCAGAACATCAAACCAAAGAGCTTAATGCAAATAAAGAAAATGAGCATAGGAGAGAAGAATAACAGAGGACAAAATGGGGAAATACAGATACACCAGCTGGATTAACTGAAGAAGAGCTAAATAAGTGCTGTAACTTTAGAACAACAAAGCATAAAAAGCTGCATAAGAAATGAAGACTGAGAGAGCAACAGATGAGTTTATTGTCTTCAGTTTAATTTTGGGGAGTAAGAGCTGCAGAATAACTAAAGCAAATCAACTCAGATTTTGTATAGGATTTTCAATCATCCTGTAACAGAGATAATAGAAGAAGAGAGATAAAGATACATGCAAAATGGAAAGCAAGTTTCTCATAGTTTCAGTTTCTTACTTGTGTTTTTTAAGGATATTAGCTCAATATTCTTTCTCGATCTCACAGCCATGCTTCCTTATTGTCTCTGTAATAGTCAATGAAAATGAGGTGTCTAAACAGAGTCTGATTTAATCGGCCTTAAATCACACACTACAGGGTCAGGATTTCTTTCTAGGTACTTGACTGCACTTTACAACCATGTTTGAGAAGCATCACCTTATTCTGTTTGAGAAATGTCTTGTTCTATAACGAAAGGCTTATCTGCTTATTGCACCTTATTTCAATGCCATACTCTGTCATAACAAACGTACTTCACCTCTGCTGTTCTCTGTTTGAAGTATAAGCCCTCCACATTTAAGTCAGGATCATTTTGTGTCACTTGGCCCTAAAACTAGTCACTTATGATATATTAATATACAGGATCATAGGAAAAAATAGAGCTATAAGGGACCTGAAAGAGACATTGCATTTTCCTGGGATCAGTCTTGATAGAAGTAGACTACCCTTGTGATAAAGACTAACAGTCACTAGGTTTATCTGAACTATGGTTGGGTCCTTCTAACCCCAGGTGGTTTAAATCAGCATCCCACAGTGTTTCTGTGCACTGGCCCATAAGAAACTCGTCTCAGTTTGTAGGTTTTCATTTTAAGAGCATATGGAATATGGATTTTCTTTGTAATACTTTCTGATTGCTATCTGTTGCAAGAAGTGTATTATACTGGAGCCATATATTTGTAAATGGCTCTCTGGTCCCCTGCCATCATGGGTCATAAATAGAATAGAAGTTAACTCTGAAAAAGTCTGTGTTCTCAAGTTTCACAGGTAAAACAAAACCAAGCAAACAGAAAAGACATCCTATAGTAAAATTAAAAACTTGTGACAGATGACAAACATAATGAACTACACAGAGAGATCATGGAAGATCGGTGATATGTTTTAGATTTCTGTAACAGCAGGGATTTGGCAGCTAAATTTCCTAGGTGCTTACAGAATCAGAGTGGTTGAGGTTGGAAGGGATTTGGTCCAATTCCCTTCTCAAGCAGGCCTAGAACAGGTTGCTTAGGATTATATCTAGACAGCTTTTGAACATCTCCGAGGAGAGAGACTCCACAACCTCTCTGGGCACCCTCACAGTGAAAAAGTGTTTGCTGGTGTTAAGATGGACCCTCCTGTGTTTCAGTTTGTGCCTGTTGCTTCTGGTCCTGTCACTGGGCACCACTGAGGAGACCCTGACACTGTCAACTTCTCTAGGTCAAGCAGTCCCAGTTCTCTTAGACTTTCCTCATGTGTGAGATGCACCGGTCTCTTAATCATCTTAGTGCCCTTTGTGGTACTTGGAACCCTTGTACTGTGTAGCTCAGAACTGGACACATAATCCACAATTGCATAATCAAAAGAAAAGGATAGGATAGGGTAAGCAGAGAAGTAGGTTTTCTGTGTGTCAGTTTTTTCTCCAACTACTTGGGCTTAGGTGTAGCTGTATATACACTTCTAAGAATGGTTTACATGAGAGGTGATTATATGTCAAAAGGCTTAGCAGCCTAGCTGAAGTTGAATGGACAGACTAAGAAGTGGGATTTCCTGAGTCAAAATTTGGACTGGAAGTCGGGCAACATACTTTTTGTGAAGTTTGAAGTAATTTTAACAGTACGTAAGTATCAGGAAAGTATTTTTTTTTTCCTCATTCTTTCTTTGCTTTGACGTTTGTATTAATTTGCAACAGAATAATTGTCAGGTACTGTTTTCCTAATTTACAACTTTATATTGAATCGGCTGCACAGTATGAAAGTTTTCTTCTACCCTTCCTCCTTTATGTGTGTTTGTTCTTTCAAAAGGCATTCATTTCACTTACAAGGTCAAAACAGTTTGGACTGAAGGTCTGATGAATCATTCTCCTCCTACACAATTTTTTTCTTTTCATTTTTGCCTCACAGGAAAGTGCCTGGTTTTGACCTGTAGTCTTTGTGTTAAATGGGTTGGAAAGTTAGCTTCCATTAAACTTAATCTTCATAACTGCTAAGTGTTTTTCTGTCTTCTGTCTCCTGCTGCTGCTGTGCAGTTTTGATTTTGACACATTGTAAATGACAGAACAAACTGATGAACTCACCAAATTATTTTGTATTGAGAACATTTAAATTGTATTAAGGGAGAGAAAACTGGTATTATATATTTGATTTCGCTTTTACGTAAAGCATTCAATTTTCAAAACAGTAATCATTGCAGAAGTTTTTATTATTCCTTTTCTGCCCCAGAATCCTAATTTCATTTTTAAATGTTAAGAGATTGCTTTCTTTTTATCTTCATTTTCAGGAGAAATCTTTTTAACTGAAAAAGGTACTGAAAAATAATACGTTGTCATGCTAAACTACTTCTTACTGTTTAATTTCAGTTATGTGCGAAAATTTGGAAAATATTGCACCTAGGTCTTTTGAATTTTTAAAATTCTTTTGAGGGTGTTATTTTCCTATGGTCAGTGTTTAAGCCAATGAGTAACTGTCCTTCTTCTACAGGATATCTTCTTGGTGGGCATGTAGTACGTTTTTTCCATGGCCATGATGAGTGTCTGACAATTCCATCTACAGATCTGAATGATTCACAGCATAAGTAAGTGGTGGTGCATTTTATATATTTCCTTCTCTCAAAAAAAAGAATTAGATTGTTGATTATCAGTTGAATTTGAGGTTAGATAGTTCGGCCTCTACAATGACTTTCATATTTTATGTACTTTGCACCTTTTTTGCAATTTCTTGCTCTCTCAAATTTGATTAATATGTTAATATAATTAAATAGTATTAGCTAGACTAAATCACGTTTCTGTTAAATCTACAGTTGTTACATATTATGTTGATTTATTAGTTGAATTTAACTTTGCGTTTTGATGATAATTGAAAGCACAGCAAGCTAATAATTTTGATGCCTTTAAGGTCCTTTCCAACCCAAGCCATTCTATGGTTCTGTGATTCTATACACAAAACCCCCAGCATTAAAAATTGTATTCAGCAAATAAGATCTCTCTACCCATTGTGGTAAATAAGTTATACTTTAGGTAATATGATACCACAAGTAACATTCAGTTATGTCAAGTAAACTTTTCAGCTCTAAATTTTCCATTTGTACTTTTCTGTGAAGTAAAAATGTCTCCAAAGCCAAAAGAAAATGCAAACTGAATGTCAGAAAACTTTACTTGGTGATTTTTTTTTTATTGCTGTTCTCTTCATATGTGTATAGAAAAAAAAAAAAAAAAAAGAACATTTACACTGAGTTAAAAAGGTGCACAGCTAGTATAAAAATACTAGCAAAATTATTAGGATCTAGATACCTTGTGTAGAACAGATGTCATATTCAGACTTAATTTTATAAACAACCAGTCTCAATAAGGTTGGAATAGATGTTGAGCCTTTTCAGTATGCTCAGAAATGCTGTACTTGGTTATTGTTGTTACCTATCTAGAAGTCAGATTTAATTAAAACCAGTGGCCCTGTATGATGCTGGTTTTAATATATATTTGATCTGTATTGTTACTTCCTTAAGCTCTGCTTCCATTTTTTTACAAATATGTAAATAAAAGGCTAAAATTAAAAAATGTTTACTTTTCTGAATGAAATCTATGTATTTATGCTCCTAAAATAAGAGAATAATGTGAATGCCAAGTCAAACTTTTTCAAATATGTGACAGTGATAACGTTGTGCTAAGATTGATGATTTGGAGTTGTCCTATCTTTTGGATTTGTGAGTTCTACATAATAGACGTAAGTCCAAGTTTATACTGTGTCATAGCTGTAGGAGTCACGTTTACATTAAACAAAACAAAATGAATTCATGAAAAAAAACCTCAACCCAATAAATAGCAATAGGAACAGGAGAAAGACCTGTATAAAATGGTTGTGTTTATTTCCATCTCTTTGTTTAATCAGTAATAAGCTAGGTTAGGCAAGAGTGATAATTTCTCTTTTCTTAGAACAGACATTTAATTTTCTGAAGGTTACTGTAGAGAATGCTCCTTAACAATTCACACAGTGACTATTCTCTGCCAAGAATCTTAAGGCCTGTTATTACAGGCCAAGTGAAAATACAAGGGGTGGACTTACTGAACATCAAAAAGGGAGGTTTGGCAAAAACTCAGAATAATATGGATGAAATCAAGAAGATAAAGAAAATGTTATATGGATGCTGTTGTGAAAAAGCAGCAATTCTCTTTTACTTGCAGTCTTGTTACTATAAGAGCAGGTTGCTAATGCTAGTACAGTGTTGCATATAGAAAAAGCTGGAAAAGGGTTAGAGAATTTATGTAGTATATTAATTTAAGTATGAATGGTGAACAGACACATATCTATCGTATTCCTTCAGTGGAGGAATGGTTGAGTTGGGCCAAGGAGAAATGAAGGAGGTCAAAGAGAATGGAAATGAATTATTAGTTTTGAGCTTAGCTACCAGAAGGTCAGTAGAGTCTGCCAAAAGTAACATCAGTAAGGTGAATGGGACCTAGTATGAAAATGGAAAAGAAAAATTCCAGACAGTTATTGTGTATTCAGTATATTCATGGAATCATAGAACAGTTGAGGCTGGAAGGGACTTCAAAAGATCATGTTCGTAGAATCTGGAAATGAAGATTAATTGATTGCTGGGTTTTTGGTTGTCATTTTGTATTTTGATTCTAGAGTGTCAAAACCATTATTGTGGAAGACAAGATGTGTAGGAGATGCTACTACTTTTACTACGAGGAATATATATTCTTACTCTTTTGGTACACTATCATTTGAAATTTTTGAATTCACATATCTGTTCTTAAAAGTCCATCGTCTTATAAAGATAGTAGATGCAAATGGTTTGTCACACTCCAGTATACTTCATATAGATTCTTCTGGAATGTATTGATTTTGATCAAGAAGCAGAATATCTGATAAATTAAAAAACCTTAAGTGTTCTCGGTAGAAGAAAAGTTGTAGAAACACTTGCTCGGGTAAGAAAAACACAACTTTCATTTCACAAGTTGAGTTCCAAGTCCCATAGTTGACCGAGAACAAAGCTAAACGTTTATTTTTTTTCTGTTAACTGTTGAGAAAGAAAAATAATTTGACGATCTGAAAAGTCAGTTAAAATACTGCATATTGGAGTGCTGCTTTAATTCGGAACAGACTGTATAATAGCTAGATTGTGACGTGTTTATGTAAGCATCTGCAGCTTTCAGTCAAGTTTGACAGAGCAAGAAGGCAGATTTTAAATTCCCTTGCTGCACGTTTTTTTCTGATACATAAGAGCAATAGAAGGTCCAGCTCCTGTGCATGCTAGGCTGCATTAGTTGTGTTCACAGGAACAGATGTAAGAATTGTTTTCATCTTTTCATATGTTCTTCCCTAAGAACCATATTACAGTTTGAACTTTTTAGTACCTTAATCACATTGTGATACAGTAATTTTTCATTCTGCATTATTCTGTATTCTTCAGTTTTACTGTCTTTATGGTTTGGGATCAGTTCCAGTTGTTTTAATTAAAGAAGGAACAGTAGAACTGTTTCTTCATCTTTCTTCACCCCTCTTCTATTTGAGAAAGGGAAGAACAGGTTATACAGGTTATATGAATTACTATTCTTACTTCTGACAAATCTACAACCTCTCCTTTAGGTATCAATAAATAAATATATGAACAGAAAGAACCACTGTCAGAAAAGTTTAGAAATACAAAAAAAGGCTGTCTGCTTATATTGCTCTAAGAAAATTAAAGAACCCAACAACCTTTTGGAAGTTTGCTGTGCTTTTTAAAAGAAGCTAGTGAATCAGTTTGTTTTGCATCTAGAATAATTTTGCTTGTATGCCTGAGCCCTTCTCTCTTGCTCAAATTATGAAGGAGTGTACTACAGTATCTTAACAATTATTAAGAATATCATTTTCTTATTGGTGTCTGCCTGGAGTGCTCAGTTTCTGACCACGCTCACAGTTTACACATAGATGTTATGTCACTCTTTCAAATGAAGAAGTAGGCAGAGCAAAAGATAAAGGTGTACTATTAATAATTAGTTTTGCTGTGTGAACAGATTTCTGTTCAGTTAGAGCGTCCACTGAGCATTTGCTAGCAGTAACAGAACACTTCAATTTATTGTATAATGATGGTGCAATAAACCCTTACATAGTGCAGCACGGAGGACAGCTTGGGAGTCACGTTGTTAGAGTAACGCCTTCGCTCTAATGCAGTTTCCCAACAGCAGTAATGTTGCAGATAGTAGCCTAAAAATGTGTAAAACAAATTAAATTTACTTAGTTAAGAGATTCCTAAAATATTTTAAAATAGGCAAGCTGCACATCAAACTTCACAAATTATTATTCTAATCAAATACTTTATTTAGTTATAAGTTTATTATTTCCTAAATTTTTACTGTTGCAGAATTTAACGAATACAATTGCAGGACTAATCCACCATAGTTTGTGTTTGTCTGTATTTGGTTATTGAGTAGAATGTTAGTTTCAGCACTAAAATATTTCACTAACCCCCGGCCAGTAATTCAAGAAAACTAGATTGTATTAAAGGCTGAATCCCTTCACTTCCTGTTTCTTATTTCTCTGTTTCCTAAAACTAAAATGTAATTTTATCTGTATTATCTATTTTGTAAGGATTGTAATACAAAATTCTTGTTTAATTGCCACCTTTTTTGTCTTTTAATAAGAATGTTAGAAGTAATTCTGGGAATGAAGTCTTTGATGTATTCATGAAGATAATAATTAATGTATGCAAATATGTATACTTATTTTAATATTCTGTTTATATATACTTAAGAACATTAGTAATTTAGATTAATCTCTTGGGAACTGTATGAATTACATATTTTTATGACTGATTAAGTAACAACAAAAGTTTCTCAGCCACTTTGAAAGCAAAGTATTTACTCAACTCCTGAAAGAGAATAGCTTGATGAAAATAACCTGACTTACATTCGGATGGTGTATTGTGCTCTCACTGATGAGTAGGGATCTTCTGTCCGTTCAACTCCATCTGTTTAGCTGGGGAGAAGAAGTGAGTCCTAATCAGTTTACAGAAGAGTAAGTTATAAATACTATGTTGCACAAATAAACACAAGAGCATGATCTTCTGAATCTTTTCTGTAGGAAAGTACTTTATGAAACTGGAGGAGCTGGTGTTCGAGCAAGGTCTTTGTGGAGAGTAGAACCCCTTCGAATAAGGTACTGATATTTTTGGAACTCTTTTATCATCAACTCTTGTTATGTTAACAGCAATTCAGTTGTTACAGACCCTTAAGGGCAGAACATGAGCGATATATTTGTCCTGCTATGTGATATATCTTCTTTGTCAATAATACAAAATTATCTACCACGAGATAATCATACGGGGAATGTCAGTATTTTAAGATTGTTGTTGTTGTTGTTTGGGTTTTCGGTTGTTTGTTTTGTTTTGTTGTTTTGGGGGGGTTTTGTGTATCCCATATCAAAAGCAGTGTTGCCTATGATATATGTCTGCTTGAGACATTGCTTCTGTCCAGAAGTAGAATGCTTTCCTATTTTTTTACTTAGAATTTTAGAAGCATGGGTGGAAATCAGAACAGTAATACCCCTCAGTCTCTTGTGTTTAGACTCTTATCTCCCTCCTATGTGATTAGTTATCTGTTAACTTGTTGCAAGTGAAATTTCAATATAAAGCATGAGGGTTTACATGTTTTAACTTTGATGGCCTTCTGAACTGTATGTTTGTTCTACTCTTGGTGTGTTTGTGATTGCAACTGAAATGCCTTCAAAACTGACAGAGATGTAGGATAGCTCCTTGGAATGTTGAGTCCTCACTTAGGTTTAATTATTTTGTTTAGGCAATCAACAAAAATACAGTAGTTTATTTACACTTTAGTATTTTTCAGAAACAATTAGGACTTTTTTATGGGCACTGTATGTAGTATCCTAATAAAACAGAGGGAGGGTATAGAAACAAGAAAATTAAAACTATACTCCTTTCCAAGGTTGCCTTTGCAAATGTATTAACAGTTTTGCATGTTTTCATGCAAATATTGAAATGAAAAGCTAAAAGGAATATATATATCACGTGTTTTCTGAACGTCCTTTAAAGCTACAAATAGGAATGTTAGTTTTGGTTACTTCATAAATTATTTTTTTGTGTCTCATATATTTAGCTGGTGCGGAAGTAACATCAGATGGGGACAGCCTTTCCGTCTTCGACATATTACAACGGGAAAGTACTTGGCGCTGAATGAAGATGAAGGGCTTGCAATGTTAGACAGAGAAAAGTCGGACACAACTTCTACTGCCTTTTGTTTTAGAGCATCAAAGGTAAATAACATGAATGCAAGTTTGTTTTGAACATGGAGCACTCAAATGCTAGATCTGAGTTGGCTCAATGACTTTATAAATTGTTTGTGATTTCTAAATTGAAGCAATTGACAGGGATTATGCAAAGGTAAATAACCTGAGTCGAGAGTAACAAAGGTTTCCTTGAGGAAAAATAGGGGTGATGAATACATTTCATAGTCAACTAAACTGTTAACAGGTTAAAAAAACATGATTGAAAACTAATACAATGCAAGATACAGTGATTTAATATAAATGCTTTAATCATTATAGAATAGTTTTAGTTGGACGGAATCTCATTAGAATGTTATTCATTGCAGCTCTGGCAGTCATAATTAAATTCAACTGAATTCAGTTTAGTTGGGCAAAGTTCTGCCCTTGTTATTCTTTGTGCAGTGAATTGATAGGTGAGTTGCAAGGAAAATGTAGTCAGTGATTTCTAAACTGTATGTTTTCAAACTGCGCTCTTTAGTGAGCTGCGAATTGCATGTTACTAGCTTTTTCATCGTTTTCAGCTGAGGAAAACAGTACAAGTGAGAGACAATGAATGATGATTATGGAGGTAGGCAAAATCAATAAACTTTTTCCAGAGAGTGAAAGGTTTTTACACCAAAGGTAGTGAAAAGTTTTTACATGCTTTCGTGTAAAATCATGAATAGTTGCCATAGCTGCTACAATAGAGTTTTTTATTACATATGAGAAGTTAAAAGTTCCATGTCATTCCGAATGCTGTATTGTCCTTGACGGGCAGTGAAAAAGGATCTTTAAAGTTGATATATACTAGATAAAATGTAACATTAAGGGTCTTGACAGATGCTAGAATTCTGTTAGTGTAATAAAGCAAATACTACTTTACAGCATGTTTAAAATAACAATATTTATTTTATTATTGTGACTGCATATGGTATGCCAAGAATTTTTGTTTTAACCAATCAAAATAATTGAAAAACTATCAGGAAATTTCCTTAGATTGCTAGATGCATACCAAATAGTTTTTGATTCTTTTTTCAGTGTAAAGGCGAGGCGGTGTAGATTGTATGTGTGATGTTGTGCAGGGGCGTTTATTACAGCTGTAATTTTTTCCCATTTTTGGCAAATCATGGCACCGTGGTGAAGGTGGAGAGTATGCCAGGAATGATTACTGGTTTATCATTGTGTTCAAATTCCTGTTATGTACTCACTGCCTAATTGGACACAGACTGTCCTGCAATTTCTTAATTTTTTAATCTATGCGTCTAAATGTACAAATATTAAGTATATAAATTTTATGTTTGTGTAGGCATACTCATAAAATAAATAATTTCTGTTACATTGGATAAACTTACCATATTTTCTTAGTCTTTTTGTTGAGGTGTGCCTCAAAGGCACGTTAGTGAAATTTTTTACAATCCTCAAAATGATTAAGATGAAGTACAGTAATAATTATGCAGAAGCCAATAATGACTGTGTGGTGTGTTCATCCCTTCTACTGTGTTTGTACATAACGTGGTTGTTAATGTACATTTTTATATGAAATACAAGTTCAGTGTCTCATCATCCTCAGATTTGTGCTGTCCTATATAGAAAAGAATATTTGTATCTCACAATAGGTTATAAATTTGCTTTTGCCTGTGCCAAGAATAAGAATAGTTGTTTATTGTCTGGGCACATGAGAGCTGCACTAGCCTATGGGTAGAGACATTAGTGTTTCCAAAGGTGAGGGGAACAAGCAGTGATAACTCTTCCTGAAGAAAGAAAGGTGAGGTTTTGGAAGCGAATAACCCCCAAAGATTGATCTGGACTGCAAGAAAGAGAGGACTTCTAAAGCCAAGTGCTGATTGCATACAGATTGAGGGGGGGAAAGAATTGTAGAACTAATAGTTAGACTAGATGGTGCAAGTCTGTTTATCTTAATTTCTACACATATGTATTTGTAAACCTTTGTTTTCTCATGTTCACTTTCTCAATGAAGAAATATTTTCACTTGCCTGGACCTTAATATGGCAAGAATTAAGGAAGGGAGATTTCAAGATGATTGTCTAATACCTTCCTATCCAGCTGTTGTACATATCCTTAAAAAGAGGGTGCTGGAATACCTGGCTGTTTACAATATTCCTGTCCTTTAGAATCATAGAATAATTTTGATTGGAAGAGACCTTGGGAAGTCATCTAGTCCAGCCTTCTGCTTCAGGTGGGGTCAACACTGAATTTAGACCTGATTGCTCAGAATATACATTGCTGTGGAGTATCCAAAATGAAATAAAACATTTCTCTATTAGGGATATTTTTTCTAGTTCGTGGGGGGAAAAAAAAAAAAAGGTATTATCTTTGTCAGTAGGCAGAGCTGTATTGAGTATACCAAATCCCCAAGGCTTCCCAGGAGCCTGTAACACATGACTTAAAGTCTTATTTTTCCAACAGTTGTTATAAAGACATTCTTGTTGAAAAAGCACACCTTTATCCTCGGTGTTGTTACATACCATGTCAACAGTCTTGTGTGTTCCTTGCTTTTCAACACCTGTGATTGCATTCATGATGTATTTACTTTTACTGGTTTGTTTCCTTTTGCTGGATAACACTGGAAATCAAAACAGATATTTTAAACTATAAAATTCAGATTAGAGTTTGCCTTAATATGTCCTTAAATAAATAAGAATAGAAGGGAGCTTTTAAAAAAGTGAAAGAATATGCTAAAAACATTATGGTGCTGATTTCAGAGAAAACAGCATATGCAATATATGTCTGTTTACTGCAAACTGAGCTTACAAGCATCAGAAATTGATGGAAACCTGCAAAACTATGCCTTTTGTTGGGTTTAATATGGAGCTTACTTTTGACAAAGTTCTAAAATGTCAACCTTTATATTTTAAGGCAACAGTTCTGTAATGCCTTGTGACAACAGAGACACCAGTTTCCAAAAAAAAACCTGTTTTGAAATGGATGTTCTCATTCCAGCACAGTACTTGGCTCAGTATACTCTGCTGAGCAGAACCTTGACTCTGCTTATAAATTTCTTTGAGAACAAACACAGTGAAGAACATGGGCAAATTTAAAAATATTTATTTATTTTAAAATTGTTGTAGCCCAGAATTAATATTTGAGATATCATATTTTATTTTACGATGGTAGGTAGAATTGACAATGAAGAAGTTATTGGTGTACTTTGAGTAAGTAACATTCTAACACATTCAAAAGTCACAGATGACTCATGCAGAAGGATTTGGTATCATTTTAATATTACTGCCAGCATGTAGCTATCTTAGGGTCTCAACATGTCATTAGGATGTCGTAATAGTTTAGTAGTAATCATGAAGTTTAATTTGTTTATGGAATAAGATCATAGCTATTACAGAGTCATTACCTACAATTGTCTCTAAAAGTTCAAGTATTTATTTGTAAGTTCATATTTTACAATTATAACTTCCCAGTAAGCACTGTGTTTCAAATACAGTATTAAGACATTTTTTTCTATTTATTTTATATGGGAGGAGAAAGTAGAAGGTAAAATTAAAATCACCTTTTTTTTTTTGTCTTGCCTACTGGGGTGTAGAAGTGGTTTATTTCTTCTGCTCCCACTGCCATTCCTTACTGTCTATCACATAAGAATCTATGATTCTATGAATTCTCTCATTTTCTAAATCTTGCCTTTCTTCTAGTATGTTAAATACCTTGTGAAAATTGCATCTTTGACAGTTTTGCCCTCAAATTCCCTTGTTCATTGCTTCTATCTTTTCTATTTTTCATTACTGTTATTCTTCCTTTCCCATCTTCCAGACCCATGATGTGATTTGTTGTCTTCAGCTTTATTCATCCATGGCCTGTGGGAGTTAAACTGAGAATAGGTTATGAAGAGACAGTTTTGAAGGAGAAAGCGTTTGGATATTTTGCTGCTAAGATATGTAGAAATATCTAGATGAGAGGGGGTTTTTTTTTGCCCCTTCTCCCCCGATAATCTTTATCTGACTATACTTTTCAGCTGTTAGAAAATACACCCTCTTTTTGCACACTGCTATCAAATGACTTGGCTGAAATCCTAGAGAAACTGGACAGTGCACAAACAACAAAACATCACGAAGAGGAATTTATGCTGTATTGCTTAAAGTGAGAACAGCCTTCAGGCCCTGCAAAACATTCAAAGCTTTATTTCTGAAACTTGAAAAATCTTAGTATTTTCTTTATGTTTAGTGTCATCAAAAAGGATCGGTATCACTTGATTATTTTAAAAACCATAACTTATTTAGAATCACTGTTACCACATTATGATTTCTTTCATTGAAATTTTTATTGATGCTTGAGTCTTGATGCAGATGTAATATTTGAGAAAAATGTTTTAATCTTCAGGGTGCTATGTAAAGCCAAGTATTAATTGCTCATAGTTAATGAATTTGTGCTATTTTATTGTATTTTTCATTTAATGGCCTAACCGTAAACGTGTATCGAAAGAGTTCATCTTTATCTGTACGTGATAGGACAGTCCGTGTAAATGATTTCCCCGTAGTCTTGATATTGTAGTGGTATCCCCAAGGAATGTCTTGTAATTTCATTCTACTTCATCTTGGCATTACAATGCTATGTGTTTCAACTAAATTTATTGTTGAAATGTGACAGCTAAATTCCATATAAATGGAAGGAGATTAGCATTGTTAAAATAGAACTTCTCTTTACTCCACAGATGTTGAACATTCAGTAAGCTGAAATGAAACAAGAAAACCTGTAACACATGTATGATAATTTAAACTGTGTATCAATATCTAACATACCTGGTTTACTAGCAACAAAGGGCAACTATCTACAGTTAAGTCCATCAGTATTTGAAGTCAAAGAAAAATGATGAAACCTAGTTCCTTTATTTACTTAGATTTTTTTGTTTATGTTTAATCACACATATCCATCTGTAATCTGCTGTTACAGACTTTGCTGCTTAATTCTGTTCTTATTCCTGAATTCAATCTTGAAAGGAAAACTGTTTTATTTTAAAGAAAATAAAGATACTTGCTTTTGTGCTGGAGACTTAAAATCCTCTGGTTGTGAATAAAGAATAATGGGACTGAGAAACAGGTTGGGCTTAAAGTATTGAGCAATATCTTTAAGAGATTTGAAAGAATGCAGTTCCTCTTACAAAGAGGATAAATGGAAAAATAAAATAAATGCAGAAAACCTAAGAAATGCAAAAGTAAAATAAACACAAAAGCCAAAACGTACTTATTTTAAAAATTGATCTTTTCTTCTTTGTTGGTTTTTGCAATACAGAGGCATTATTCCAAGTGAAATTTTATCTTCATATACTATTTATAAGCAAAAAATTTGAAAATATGCTTCTGCTCATTTTTCTTTTTCATATTTAAGCTAAAATTTGAAAATTTTAGTAATAGAGTTCTACAGACTCTACTGAACTGAAACTTTAATTACATGAGTAACTCAATTATTGATTAGGTTAAGTTAAATATTAAAATATTTTTTATATATATCTTTACATGGTAATGGATTTTACTTGATTTTTCTTGCTTCAGTGAAAATGATGCTTCAGATTTGAAATTATTTTTAATCAGAACCTGACTAATTAATTGGATAGAAACAGAAATCGCGTGAAATGAAATTTAGCTGCATTTTAACAACATAAGTAACATAAACATTGTTCAGTGTTGGGATGTGTTTCAGTGTAGTACAGAGATTAAATGCCAGCTTTTATTTTATCTTCTTAGGAGCTAAAAGAAAAGCAGGATTCTAGTCTTAAACGTGACATCGACGGAATGGGAGTCCCAGAAATAAAGTATGGTGATTCAATCTGTTTTGTCCAACATGTGGCCAGTGCCTTATGGTTGACTTACAAAGCACAAGATGCTAAATCAGCACGTTTAGGTCCCTTGAAGAGAAAGGTAATGTTTGATGGTTTTTTTTTAATTACTTGTAAAATGAATGTTAGTTGCATAACAGTTTTGGTCTGACCTGTTTTTCGCCATTCTACCAATGTGGCAATTGTGGGTTTAAGTGTTTTGTGCTATTATATTGAATGTTTAATTCTAAAAATTAAAACAATGGTGGATATTAACATAACTGTGTAACTGAAGGAAAACTCTGCTACGAAGAACTGTATTTAGCTATTTTTCTTGCTAGGAGAAATTACTAATTTGGGCTCAATTTTTATTTTTGACACTTTATTAAATACGCAAGTTCCTGATTTGGATGGTCAAATCACTTTTTTGAAAATCTGCGTTTAACTGTGTAAGAGTGTAAACTTGTAAGTCATGTTACATTCACTGGTGTTTTAGGGTTTTTTTTAATTGAGTGTATTGTATGAAATGGCAATCAAATTTGTTTGTTAAGAAATAGCCCTAGAAACTACTCAAGATTCTGAAGTGATATTAACAAACAATTTCCTGCCAAAATGTTAGATCTAATTGTGATGTGGCACTGAGGCCTTTCTCTCAGCCTCCTGATTATAGGGTATGAGCATATTCTTAATTAGGGGCACACTACCTGTTATCTGTTCAAATTATGCTTACATTTCATTCAGAATTAAGGGGTTTAGTACTAGCTTCACATAACTGCATCATTGCCAAATGATTCTTTGATTCTGTATTAATAGATTTATACTACTTGAACCTATCATTAGAACATGAAAAAGAAAAAAAAAAGTTCATAACTGAACAGAAGTTGGAATTCTTCTTTAATTACATATATGTATGTACGTTCGTAAGAGGATACACGTACACAAGCACTGTAATACAAAAAATTAGGTCCTCAGCACACCCTTGGCACAATCTCATTTATTTTTGCAGCACACACAGTCATAAATGGGCAGTGAGTGCCCAACCCCTTCACTTCTTCTCAGCAGCCTGGCTGATCAGAAATATTCTTCTTTGTATGACAGTCATTCAGTATTTTCTTGATATGAGCTTTAGTCACACAATGATGGCCTCTTCCTTTCCCATGCTAGTACTGGCTGTGGGATTCTTTTTCCTCAGAGGGTCCAATTTTACTTCTTGAAAAGGCAACATGTGGATTCCTCCTCTGTATTCAAGGAAAAATTTTGCAATAGCTCTTGTGAAGTTTTGGAGGTTTTTTTCAGCTCAGTTTTCTGCTCAGCAGCAAGGGACTAAAGGAACCGCCATAATTGCATGTCACTTTTATTCTTCTTTCAAACTGTTTCATTCATGTTCAAAGGCTCCAAAACTTTTGTTGCCCTCTCACCTGGAGAATTTGGTCCTGTTAAGTGCCTTCAAACAGGAGAAAACCCAAACCTTCTCACTTCCTGTAACTGAGGTTCCTGTGGAACTGAGAAACAGTTTTTCATCCTCTGCAAAATACAGTACTAGACTGTAATTTTATAAGCAAGATGTGTACGTCCCTTTCAATTTCATATAAAATCTATTTTTCTACAACAAAAATGTATTCAAAGTTTTGTATACATCCTTCACCGTCATTTTGTCAGGAGTTTTTGACTTTCAGTCACTGTAATCCTCCTCAAGCTGACCTGCACTTTTTGTAACATGCCTCAGTAGCCCTAGGAGGATTGAGAAATACCTTATTTTTGCGAGAGGCAAAGGGTGGGGTTTTTTTTTCATATAACCTAGCTGTTATCACTGACAGCTGCTGCAAATCTATAGAGAGGAGAAAACAGCTGTGGGATTAGTTCTGTTACAAAATACTCAAAATGACAAGTAAAAATTTCTGTTGTTTGGCTTTGATGTAGTTTCATGTATCCAGTTATCATGCTGTTTTTGCAAGACACAAATATGTGAGAAATTCTGACATTATTTATGAGGCATCTGTTGCATGATTTTGCCAGAATTTTCATCTGTTGTATCACTCTGTCAGAGATCTTGGTATTCAAGCATTCAAGACTTCGCCAGGTAGTGGTGATGTTTACGTCAGTATTCTATTCAACATTCCTCCACAATTCAGCGTGAGCGATGGATGCCTATCTTTTCAATTTGAGAGCTTGCTCCTATGCAGGCTATGAACTCCTGCAGAGCTCCAGAATGCTAGAGCTCAGAGAACAGAGAAGCATATGCTACATGTTTTGGATTCATGTCCTGGAGACTGTTGTGCAGGGTGGTGGTCAATACCAATGCCCTGCTGTGCCTCAACAAGCAAGGCAGTACCAAATGCCCTTTTATATGCAGGGAAGTGGTTTAGCTGAGGAATTGCAGTAGGCAATGCTGGATGCTTCTGCCCACGATCTATTTACTGGAGTTCTAAATAGTGCTTTCCTGTCATTGTGATGTTTCTGGATGATTTAATTGAGGTTTTGAGGTGGGTTTTTTTTGGTCAGAGAAGTAAGGAAGATTAGGTCCTTCTAAAAGACTTCTCTCTTCCCTGATCTGCTGCATACTTAGGGAAAAGAGTGCACAGTGGGGCAGGCGGAATTATTTTGCAAGGCATGGCAGCTTTAATATCCTATCTGTTTTCAATCCTGTGACATTCCTGTAGCTACAAAATCTGGAGCTACATGCAGTGGCCTGAGGAAATATCTGCTTGTCAGTTGTGTTCTTACTGGTTTTGTGATGGGAAGAATGATTCTTTAGTCAAGTTAAGAGACCCCTGGGCCCTTCTTTATGGAAACAGTGATATTTCAGCTAACAAAGTCACTGACAGTGTGACTCTGTATAAAGAAGTACTTGAACAAAGAGGAAAGATGACCAATAGGTAAACTAGTTGCCTTTAAGATAATATTATCAATATACTCATTCAAAAATGTCTTCCTAGTCTTCTCCGTCAAATTTCCATGGATTCTGTGGTCCAGATAAAGTCCTAGGGTGATGTTTTCCTCTTTTCAAAGCACTTCCTCAGCATTTTGGAAGGAACAGAGCGCATATGTACTTTGGATCCTGCCACGTATAGAAAAACATCACTCTCCAATGCTTTGGTATACCTATGTACCAGTATCTACAAAAAGTTGTTGGTAAATAACCTTCACATTTGTGGCAGTAACCACTTGTATAACATTATTAGTTTCTTTGTTAACTATTCAGTGCCTTCAGAATTACTCAGCTAACTGGTAAGTTGGGCAGCAAATTTTTACTATCTCAGAGACAAAAAAATACATTTTTTCAGTGGAGACTTCAATAGGTTACATTTTGGACAAAGAAGCAGGATAAGTCACATTTAATTCTTACAAAAGTGCTGTAGTAGTTTATGACTCAAAATTATCAAGACTTATTTTTTGCGATACCTAAAAATTATGCTGCCTTTTGTGAAACAGGGTGTTTATTGAAAGGGAAAAAGTAAAAACCTACCAAAGGATCTCTGTTATTGCTTGAAGTTCATATGATGTTCACATCTGGTTCTGGTAAGAATCCAACGTAATGTGTAGAGAATAGTTAAATGAATCAGAAGTTACTCCTAAACATTGTTGCTCTGTAGCCGCATTGTAATTTTTATGTTTGTCACTCCAGCTTGATTTTCTTGTCAGTAGTGTTTTCATGCGTGAATGCTTTAGTAAATGATGCTTAAGATAGTGAATATCCTCCTTCCCTGACAGCCAGAATACAGAAAGAATAACATTTTTTGCTTCAGTTGTAAAATATTGGATAAATATATATGTTTAGTGAATTGCAGGAGAATAAAGGTACATTAAAATGTCTTATCTGAATAACTTTTATGTAAGACTTATAAATTTGTAATTAATTAGTAAACAGGTGTTCAGATGAAGGGATTAACAAATAGTAGCTGAGTATATATGCAACTACAGTTTTCAGTGCAATATTGAAATAAGTTTTTAAAGTAATTACTGTGATAATTACTGATTTTTCAATAGGTTATATTACACCAAGAAGGCCATATGGATGATGGTCTAACCTTACAAAGATGTCAGCACGAGGAATCCCAGGCTGCTCGAATCATTCGCAATACTACAAGCTTATTCAGCCAGTTTATAAGGTAGTTGTTACCATCTTATGTACAATAATTTTTTGTTGTTGTTTTTTTAAAGTATTCTGAAATGATAAGAATTTGTCTAACAGAATCTTTATTTCCTGCTTTCAAGTATTTGCATTTAAAAGCTACTAGCAATATATTTATACTGCCTTAAATTTGTAATTTTGATGAGTAATGCAAATAAATAGATAAAACAGCTTATTTAAGATTATTTACGTGCAATCTAATACCTTGAAGCCAGAAGCAAACTGGATTGTAATCCACGTTGAAGAAAATATGCTAAATGATCTTAGTGTAATCCATTAGTAAGTATTCTGCACTAGCTAGAATGTCACAATATTCATAAGAGTTCCTATTTTTGTGTTTTTGTTGGTACACCAAATATTATAGCTAATTCTATTCAAATTTGTCATGCTAATTGAGAGGAGTATTTATGCCTAATACTGTTTAGATCAAAAATACACCATAGCAGCCCCAAGTCCACACAAATAAATAATAGAAGGAATTACACAATAGATTTCTACATGTCTGGGAGGAGAATATCAATTTATTGCTTTCAAGATCTGGGCTGAAACATTTTACTTGTACCTTTTTAATCACCATCCTGTTGATCCTCTTACTTCTCTGTCACCCCTCTGATCATATTGGGAAGATTTAAAGGTCAGAGGAGAGGCGGTTCTCTCTGAACTATATACAGTATAACAGATTATATGCAGTAACAACAATTAGGGCAGAAGGCTAACTGTGAGCTGAGAAGGTAAAAGGAACAACTTCTCTCTCTCTGCTAAATTATTATGTGAGCATTGCTAAATCTCCGGTTTAAACCAACACATTTATTTGCAGTGGAATGGATTTATAGGTATTCAAAATCAGTAACATCAGCTAAGCAGAGAGACAGTGATTATATCTGGTTTTAAGGAATATTAAAGTTGGGATTCTAAGACTTCAGAATAAAATCAATAGAATTAACTTCTGAATAGTATTTATCTTCCATATCTTTGCTGTACTAGAGGGTAATGCAGTTAGTATTTATACCTCAGTGAGAGGTTTCACTTCAGTTTTAGCTCTTCCATATGATATGTTTTTATCTGAAGATTTTTAGGGTAAAATAAGTTCTGCATCAATGCATATTCATTTATAATTGCTGAGACCAACATATAAGAATGCACAATGAAATTGTAAGAATGTATGTAGTACTGAAGAAACTATTTTATCTTAATGCTTGGCAGAAGTTTTAATTATAATGATCAAGTGGTCATCCTTGTATTACTGCCTAACAGGTGAAATAATAATGAAAAATGAGTTTGTAATTAAGAATTTGCTTCCACAGAACCTACCATATAAGACTGCATTTAAAACATTAGCTCTTCAGTATCACAAGGGACTACACTACTCCTTTGTATTTCTTGTGTTGAGGATGTAGAAACAGAGCTTCCTCTGCCAGCAATCAACTCCTCCTAGATTCTACTAGTTATAATAGCAAGTCAGACCGTGAAGAATTGGGTCAGCACCCAAGACTGAGCAAATGCTTGAACAGGAAAGAGACATTATTTTACTGAGAACTGAGGTTCCTCTAGATGATTTATGTTTTTTAAATCCCACCCTTCTTTGTTTCCTATATAGAGTTGATGTAGAAGACCTGGTTATTGTTGTGTTCTTTGTCTAGAAGGCTGGGGTGTAGAGCCTCAATACCTGCTACTATTTTAGTCTACTATTTATTTAGGGACATTACACTTACGTCATCAATAGGGTTTAAAGTATCTAAAGAAAATAAATTACCATAAGGAAGGACTTTGGTACATCTTTCATCTCTGTTTCATCTTTCTGCTAACTTACATTGTTTCTTCTGCTCATTTTTTCAATTATTTAATCACACTCTCTCTTTACATTGGTGCAGAAAGGGAAACCTGGTTTCACTTCAGGAAGCTCTGCACACTGGACACCCAAACAATAGATGTTTGAATGATTTGCAATTCAGATCAGCCGTTGCTCATAACATATGTGTATAGCAAGACTTGATTTAGATACCAACAGGAAATAAGCTGCTACATAGTACTGTAAATTACAGTGAGAAAAATGAATAATGCTGCCCATCTTTCTCATTGTTGTTTTCCATAGTGGAAACAACAGAACACTGTCACCCACTGCCCTGCCTGTTGAGGAGATGGCTCAGACTCTGCAAGACCTGATTACTTACTTCCAGCTTCCCGAAGAAAACCTGGAACATGAAGATAAGCAAAGCAAGCTTCGGTCACTCAAAAACAGACAAAATCTATTCAAAGAAGAGGTACAGAGAGAGGAATTGTTACATTATTTAAATTTTAAGTGTATCGTGTCACAAACATTGAGAAGAACCTAAACTTTATCATCTAGATGCATGTATATGATTTATAATGTAAAGTTCTGTAGCTGATATATATATAAAGATTGTAATAACATATAATAACTTACTGTTTATGTATTTTTCACTTCCACAGTTGTCATAGGCCTCAAGCTCTCATAAGATTTATTCTTAATACTTCTCTGCATCTTAAAACAGTTGTCATTTTTAAGAGAAATTCTTGTGACGAGAAGTTTCTTTTTCTCTCTGTCAAGTTACACATTCTGAATACCCCAAAATTAATATTAAAACTTGGATCAATTATAAGTGTTATTTCTGATGTCTTTTCTGTCCACCAGGATGTGAAACAGGAACTTTTTATCTCCAGAAACTGGAAGAATGCTAGTTTCAGAGAAGGATATGTATTACATAATTGTAGAATTACTCCTCTCTGAAATTGGAATAATTACACTTCTGTATAAATAGGAAATGTATTTTACAATTTTTTTAGATGTTTGGATTCATTGCAGGTTTCCAATACCATTTTAGTCTCCAATCAAACTGAAATTAAAAATGTATTCTAGTAATTGAACTTGTTTGTTTAACAGATATTTTATTGGATAGTAAAATTTCTATCTATTAATCAACAAAAATGCCTTTGTATATAAATTTAAAGTGATTTTTTTTCCAGTGTAAGGAAGATTGTATGTAAAAAAGAGTCTGTTCACAAAAATTACAAAATTGTTTATTATCAGCTTTGTTTATTCCTTTTTGTAATACTTAGCTGAGTAAAGAACGCTATAGAATCATTCTCTAAAATGATTCTATAAGGTGATTCTGGTATAGAAAAATACATAATTCTTGAAAGCACAATAATTATGCTTTTTTAAATCTAAGATGATGCAACTTTTACAGGAAAAGATCTTTTAAAAAGACAACAACAAATGCCTTTTCATGTACAGTTTGCTTTCTTCTGTCATACGCATTTAGGGAATGCTGGCATTAGTTTTGAATTGCATTGATCGCTTAAATGACTACAACAGCGCAGCTCATTTTGCAGGAATTGCAAGAGAAGAACATGGTACAGCGTGGAAAGAAATTTTGAATCTCCTTTACAAATTGTTAGGTAAGTTCTTCAATAACCTACTAATGTGAAAAAACAGGATATGTATTTTTTATATTCTACTTGCTGCTTCACCACCAAAGAATATTTTGTGTGTTACTCATTCTGTCATGTAAATTACAGATTTTCTTCCATATACTTATTGGTATTTACTACAATGGACAGAGTTTATTGAGCAATGATACAACAGAAGAATAAATCTCAGCTAGGAAAAAGATTGGTGCAGCATGCCAAATGCGTATCTTTTTTTATTTATTTAAATGTACCTGTGGTATGCAAATAGGTGTGAATTACTATTTTAAAAATTAGAAAAACTGGAAAACAGCCTATATGAAGCTGAAGAGAAGCCTAAAAGTAATAGTCAGAACTAGTAGATCTACTGAATCCATGTTTGTCACTTGAGGCTTAGTTTTAAATATTAATAAAAATAAATACATAGAACAGAAATTAAAAAAAATTTTTAATTTCAGTGCTATGCATACTAGAGCAAACTGCTTCTGTGTTGTAGTGGGGACAGAATTACAGGGCAGAAGTGTGTATATGTGTATTTCTTCAAGTCACTAATTTGATACTAGAGTTGCATAATTCCTTGTGTACGAGAATCCTCTTCTGGTAGAGTTTAAATACATTCTAATTTCATTATAAAGAAGGTCTGTCCCGAACCACAGTAAAACACACAAGTTGAGAGTTAGGACAAAAATAAAACAAACCAGGGGAAGGGCTTTGGAGTGTGAGGTTGTTCACGTAGCACAGACCTGCAAATGCTTCTCATGAAATCTTCTCATTGCTTTAGAAAGTAGTGAGATACCATTGCCTGCATTTTACTACAGTCTTAAGAGTCTGAAGAGAAGTTTGATGGGAAAACCCTCTGTTGTGCTCTGTAGGCCTCTTCAGATTTTGTCGTGATTTTTTTCTGCAGGTACATCTTGAACACACTTGTTCTGATGTAGTAATTATTAAGTTAATGCTTCATAATGAAAATCTTTGACAATTGTGTAAAAAAGGCTTTTCTTTTTGTTTTCCTATGATCAGTAATAGCTTCTGGAAGAAAAAAAATCAGTATTGCTTGAAATACTTGAATGCTGGTGAACTTTCAAAGCGCAGTCAAATAACATTGTGTTTTGCGTTGCCGAAGTCTAAAAGCTATCCATTCTATAATTTGTTTTAATCAGAAAGTAGAGCTAAAGAGCAGTACACACAACATGCACTTGAGCTTAAAGTTCTGCATATGATCTTCTCACTCAATGGTAGGAAAAAATAGAAGAAAAAGTGTTTCAACCTCTTGATCATGACAGTGCTTGACACTTGCATCAAACAAGGGTGGTGGATAATTTCTATTTAAATTTAACAATAAAATAAAACATAAATAAAATGCATTTTTTTTGCTGAAATTCTTGTTTATCCAGAAGACCTCTGTCACCTTCAAAAACTGTATGCTCTTTATGTCAGTTGCCGATATTCAAATTAATGAAAATCTTAATTCTTTATTACCATAACACATGTATATATAGGATTTCTCTGTTTATTATTTTGTGAAGTTGTTATAGAAATTATGTTGAAATATATATGATTAACATTCGTACTTTAAAAGGGAAATCCCCTGATATAAAGTTATACTTTGTGGGTTTTTTCCAGCTGCTCTCATTCGTGGCAACAGAAACAATTGTACTCAGTTTTCCAGTAACCTCGATTGGCTAATAAGTAAATTGGACAGAGTAGAATCTTCCTCAGGTGAGACTCACTTGTATCAAGGTAAATTAACTATCAATACACAATACACAGCTGTCTTTATAAATGTCAGAGGAGTTTTCCTTGAAAAGAACATGTGTTAAAAAACAAATATACTGCATTTTATTTTATTTTAATCAGGCAAAGTATTACATTTAAACAGGCATTTTTATGGCATTTTTTTGGTTACATTTAAACAGGAATTTTTGTGGCATTTTTTTGGTCCCATATGTTTGGTGTGTGCAATACAAATCCAATCAGTGTTGAATGTGACTTTGGTGGATTAATGGATTGGGTCAGAAAATATCGAGGCTATTGTCCCATTGCTATCGAATAACACCAGAGTTGTTTGTGGGCACAAGTACAAGTAACAGAGAGAGAAGGGTTTTTTTTCGCTACAATGAAATATCAAAATGTTATACACTGCTCCTTCCTAAAACCTTTGTCTCTTTCATTGGAAAGGAGGAACTAAACTTGCATTTTTCTCAAATGGTTTTAAAATTGTGGCTATTTTCAAAAGAAAACAGAAATTAACAGCTTCATAATGCATTTATGTCTAATGTGGTTCACACCATAGTCACATCAATATTCAGTGTTTTCATTCTCTTTTTAGGCTGGAGAAAAGATAGCTTCTCTTAAGATATCTGTTATTTACTGAGCTTTTAGGTTGTGTTCAGTTGCACAGATGATTTAATGTCAACATTATTTCTGTGGCCTTCATACAGGTATTTTGGAAGTGTTGCACTGCATCTTGATTGAAAGCCCAGAAGCTTTAAATATAATAGCTGAGGAGCACATCAAATCCATTATTTCATTGTTGGATAAACATGGGCGCAATTACAAGGTATGCTTGGAAAAACTAAGTATGTATCGATAATCTAACAATGATTTGTGGAAAGAACCCAGAGAAATGTCTACATGGAAATACATGCTTCTAGTACCTTTAGAGGAATGAAATAATCTTGAAGCACCTCTGCTTTGTTGAGACTAATAAAATGTAAATTAACTATCAATACACCATACACAGCTGTCTTTATAAATGTCAGAGCAGTTTTCCTTGAAAACGTGTTAAAAAACAAATACATTGCTTTTTTTTTAATCAGGCAAAGTATTACATTGTAAAATATATAATTGCTTTTCAGTTTCAAATACAGCAAATATGTACGACAAGCAAATAGTTAAGAAATATGGATGCCCGTCAGAACTTTGGATTTGCAGAGAAAGTGAAGTAGTCTGGTGGCTGTAAAAACGTGGACAGAGTACCTTTCTTTGTGAAAGCTCTGCAGAAGCAGTGAACTACCTTTTTTCTATCTGCAGAAAGACAGAACTAAATCCTGCAGTCATTCCTAATTTGAGTAATGATAATAGTAGCAGAAAAGAACAAAATAGAATGAGAAATCAGAAAAATAATCCAAATATCTGAAAACACAGGTGTGCAGAAGAAAGAAAAATCCCCTGAGTTAACCAGAAGAAATAATGGTGGAAATTTATTTAGACATCAATGTGCAATTTCTTATGACAGAAGAAGGTGAACACAGTTTCTGGCTGCGATCAGGATGACATCACAACACAGAGGAGGATATAGTTTTATATGTGATTTTCTGATGTGAGTTTCCTTCCTCAATTAAAATTTTATTTGAAAGACTGGTTAACTGGAGGAAGAACGAAGAAAGTTTTAGTGAGACGCAATTACTGATTTTCAGGAGAAGTTTACCTGGAGAACCTAACCAGCTACAGATATGGAAGAGGAGAGAAGTATTTTTAAGCATGGTTAAGGAGTATGAACTGATATAAGTAGGCATAAGAAAAAAGTTGAAATTACGGTGGTAAGTTTAGCTCACTATTTTTAGCTGTTAGCAAGATTATTGTGCTATGCTAGTCACCTGCAAAGAGAACCTTTCAGCTGGAGCATCTTAATGTAGACCTCATAGTGAGAACTTAAAGCGGAAAAGGAAAATGTTATACACAGCAGAATAATTAGACTGGATAACGCATTTCCATTTGTAATGTCTTTGACTAGACATCAGTAAGTAATGAAGTAATGAGAAGCAATGAATCTGTTTGTTCCTCTGGAAACAGTATATCTTGTTGTCCTTCTAGTTTAGAAATTCTGTTGTAATTTAGGAAATAAGAAACAATAATATTATTAACCAAAATTGTCTTGGAAATTATTGATTTTAAAGATTTTTTTTTTTTAATGAAAAGCTTTGTGTCAAGAAATATGGTCAGAGAGTGCACAGAGATTATTTAAAGAGTTTATATGTGAATTCTGAGTTACTGATAATCATTAATGTTGTTAAAACACTTTACAGCTGAGTACCGGTCAGAGTTTCTGCACTTATTTAGGTTACTAACTTCTGCTAGAGGTTTCTGACAATAACAGAGATGGTAGAAAGGAAAATGCATGGGCTGAGACATAGTCAAGTTTACAATATATTAGCTTGAACTGCTTTTAAGGGTGGTTCTGTGTTAATCCACTGGGCAGAGAACATGAGTGGCTAAAATAAATGTTCTGTTCCGCTGCTCCTTGTGTTGTACAACCAAAATGGTAATCAACGGTGTGAAGGTGGTCTGTAACAGTTTAGACCATTTAGGCTAATTTTTCATGATTGCGGGTCAGAGCTCAAGCACATCTTTATGCTTCTCTGTTTTTTGCAGAAGTGTGCAGCTTTGTCCCTCAGCAGTGAACACCATGTTATTGTGTTCTGTCTTCCAATCCCTTTTGCTTCAGTAATCTGTGGGAGAATTATGTCAGTCTTTTTCACTTTTCAGACTTTTCAGACTGTGACCAAAAAAACGAAAGCTGAAATTTTAGAATAAGAGCTTTCTGAAACTTTTTTTTGCTTTATAGTTCTGCTTTGTAATTCCTTTAAATGTTTTTTGTATTAAAAATAAATGTATTACTTCTCATATTGAAAACATGCTTTCAGAACAGATTCATAAGCAGTCTGAGAATTGCAGTTGAGAACTATCCACTAATTTTGCTCAAAGTTTTTTGAGCTGCAGTAAATTTGTCAAAGAATTTAATTTTACATTTGAAATTTTTGGTGAGGTTTAGTTTTAAAGTTGAGTTGATATACGGCTGTTCTAGCTTTGTTTTTTTTCTAATTGAAATGAGAATAAGGAATCTTAAGTGAAGGGGTTTTTGAGGCATTTTGCAAACCCTGTGTTCTGAATTTGTGTTCCACGAATGTTTGATATCCTCCATCAGTAGTACAGACTAGACTCTGTCCATGTATATGAAAATTATTTCGAAAACAATAATGAGAAAGTATATTATATTTCTGACTTTAGGTCTGTGCTGAATGTAAATTAAACTAACAACTGAATGATAGTATATGCAGTTACCTTTACCTGACTTGCTTCTGATTTTGCTTTTTTAAGGTTCTTGATGTGCTTTGCTCTCTCTGTGTCTGTAATGGAGTTGCAGTTCGTGCCAATCAAAATCTGATTTGTGACAATCTGCTGCCTAGAAGAGACTTACTTTTGCAAACACGTTTGATTAATGATGTGACAAGGTATAGTGACATGTTTTATTGTTATATTAGAAAAAATGGAACTTACATGTCTTCAGTAATTAATTGAAGAAGATTCTGTAACGTAAGAGATGTTCCACAGCTTTCAATATTAAGATACGCACTTTTGGAAGTGTTTATATATAGGCTTCTGAAAAAACATTTTTACTAACAATACAGCAATTGTAATGGAAACTGTGCTCAAATGAAATTGCTAATTAATAGTAAGATCTGTTCTGAAATGGAAAGGTGAAAGTTGCTTGTTTCTCATTCAAACAGAGCATGGCTTTACCTAATAATTATTAACAAGTGTGTAAATATACTGTGAAGTACTTCTGTGTTTTAAGAGGGATTTGGTTTCCTGGTAACCTCACTCCTGTTTTTTTGATTTTAGGAAATGATCTTATTATTACTCTTTTGACTATAAGGTTTTCAAAGCATGGAACGTATACCTTAGAAGGTATCATACCTTATGATTCTACAGCAGCTTTGTAGAGTCATAAAATGGGTCACTGTTTTAAATATTTGTAAGCAAAATGTGGACGTCTACACTCTTACCCTATTTGCAAAGTGAATTTGACTATTGTACAGCAATATAATTCATATGTTGCATTTTATGTTTACACTAACTGGCTTATGTTTTCTTTCGTAGCATAAGGCCAAACATATTTTTGGGTGTTGCTGAGGGCTCTGCACAATACAAGAAGTGGTACTTTGAGTTAATAATTGATCAGGTTGATCCATTCTTGACGGCAGAACCCACCCATTTACGAGTTGGATGGGCCTCTACTTCAGGTTATGCCCCCTATCCTGGAGGTGGAGAAGGATGGGGAGGCAATGGTGTTGGTGATGACCTGTACTCTTACGGTTTTGATGGCCTTCATCTGTGGTCTGGTAAGTACTTAGTTCGCTTCCACTTAGTCTTGCGTTTAGGAGTTACCTACCATTACCTTCAGTACCTGTGTATATAGCATGCTATTTTATGGTGAGCTACATTCAGAACTCTGGAATATCATAAAGTTATTTTAGAATTTCATACCAGACTACTTGTCTGAGATTTTAGTCAATATTGAATTACACCAATTAGGCTTTTTGGCAGACAGCTTCTATTTTCATGATTTTTATCAAAAAAATGGCATTTTCCTGATCTAGATCAATACTGACTTAATTCTACCTGTTCAAAAATCAGTGGATGTATTGATCTCAGACAAAAGCATTTGCATCTACATTTGCATTATTCTTTCACTTTGTATCTACAGTTGAATTAAAATTACATTGTTATCCTCACATGTATTGGTAGATTTAATAATGGAATTTAAATTTTGATAAATAGTTTCATAAAAGATAATTTTGGCAATTAGAAGTAAGAATTGCTACACTATTACCAGCTCCGGTTGTTTTTAGAACATAAATTTTTGTGGAGTAATATCAAACTGAAAACCTGTAGTTGCTATGCTGCTTGAAAAAATATTATTATTGTCTAAAATAGGCTTAGCAGAAAGAAACAGTTTTTCTAAGAATGCTTCTTAATGTGTGCAGTAATCTCGGAGACTTTTAGTACTGCAGTGAAGTGTTTACACTTGCAGTTTATAAAGAAGGTAGTTAATAGATGCCAGCAAATGCATATTTTGTGGTCACTTAAGGATTGGTGATGGTAAACTTGTGGCCTTATTAGCGATTCTTTGTTCAAGCAAATTGAAGGTGTTAGTGGGCTGAGTTAATGAAAAAGTGGAAGTCATTGCCCGTGCAGTTGAGTAGATTTGAGTAAGAGCTCTGGAAGAGTAAAAGGAGTTTAGAGGAGGGCTCATCTGAAGTGTTGCGGTTCAAATAACTTTTTTAATAGCGAGTGCATAAAGAATAACCACTGAGGAAAATGGAGAAAACAGAAGAATCTGATTAGGATGCTTTGGAGAGGGATTAGTGAGAGCCCTGTGGGGCACATAGTTAGCTGGAATGTGTCTTTGCAGCTGTAAGCAAGGCTGTTAGTTTTCTGTGTTATCCCTCACCCAATACAGTATCTGGGGAAAAGGGAACTAGAATATACTTTTTGTAAACAGACAGGCTTGTCACAGCAGAATGCCTTTTGACTCTGTCAATGTATGTTCCTACAGAAACAACCAGCAAAATGCTATTGGCTAATTGTAAGAATCAAATGGCAACATAGGAAATGCTGATAGTTGTTTTAGCTTTCTGAAAATTCCTAAATACTTTCTAAAAAAAGGAACATTTCGGAGAAGAAATAATGCATAAGGCTATGAAATAAGAAGGTATTTAGGTAATTAGTTGTTACCCTTAATTACATCATCTGCTGACTTTGTAACATCATTCTTGATCGAACTATCAATAAGTAACGAAAGGAGGAAGAAAAGAAAGTAGTAAGAACGGAGACAGTTGCTAAAATTTCTAGATGACTTTATATTTGTATTCTGCTTATATAAATATTTAAAACAGAGCTCTGACAATTAGGTTTTGACCTAAAATGTGTAACAATCTGTCTTAATTGGTAAAGGTCTTTCATTCATGTAGATTTTGTAAGGATATAGATAAAACTGGAGGATCACCTTTTATTAACATTGTATTAATATGATCTAAAACTGTATTTTCTCTGGCTTATACCTTTGTTAATCATAAATTGTTTGAGAGCAGATTTTATCAGCCAGGTCTTTGCCTCAAGATAGAATTGAGCTGAAAACTGAGTTCATTTTCCAGAATGAGACGTGGACACTTTTTTCCAAAGTGAGATACTTCTGGCTGCCTCTTCTCTGAAATGTTCAAACATCGAGGTTTTGTGGTAAAGGACATTTTGTAACGATTTGTTTCACCAGGAATTTAGCTTTCTGTGTTTGCTGTACAAGTCTTTTAAAATTTGTTCAAAAGACTTAGAAAAAACTTCAGTATCAGCACACTCTATAGATACATCTTAATTTAACAGTTTTGTTTCTTAAGTGTGTAACCATCCATGAGCACTAAGAAGTTTGGGAGGAAAAAATAGGCATTCTTTCAGTCCTTGTTTGTACAAGATTTGGTTATGAATAGCATGTTATTTTTCCTTCCAGATCTCTCCTGCATATGCAGTAAATTGTAGTTTTGTAGCTTGTTCAATTTGTGTTGTGCTTTATTTACTGTATACTATTAGAGACATGTAGACAGAATCGTCAGTTTCCCCATATTTCCTGGTGCCTTGCCTATCTACAGCTGAGTACTCTTTAATTGCTCTGGAAAGAATAGTATGGGGCCACGCTCTTAAAAGGTGTGTTTTAAGTACAGCATACATAAATACACTGATTTAGATTTTATGGTCTTAATTCTAACATTTCCATATTTGGGTGTGTTTGGCTTTTCAGTTATGTTAGCATTGTTCTAGCATAGGATTTTGTATATAAAATACGTGTGGGTGCGCACACATAATTCAGTGGGTTTTTTCAACACTGCTAAACAATTCTCATATGACAGAAATAATGATTTTTGGGAGTAGGCTGAGAGACATCTGTAACATACTCCATTAGAAATGGCTGAATAAATCATTAATACAAAGTTAAACACTAATTGAACCTCGGAAGTACAGTGCTGGAAAGTCTCTTAAAACACTTCCTGGAGTAAGGGAAATTTTAAGTATTTACAGATTTCAGAGTATTTAAACTGTCCTCGATGGTTGAATTGACTTGTTCTTAAGAAGTTCCAAACATAGTAATTTGGAATAGTGCGTAACTGCTTTGTTAAAGTTGCTTTACAGTTAGAATACAATGTTTTCAAGGGAATTGTTTTGAGAGGAATTCTGAAGAGATATTCCTTGGCTAAAAATATGCTCTTATACACAAGTGTAATTGAAAAACTGCAGTTATGTATATATGCGTATGGTTAGATTACTTCAGATCTGCTATCTCCAGTTAATTGTCGTTATAATTGCTGAGTCCTGTGCATGGCTGTAAGGTTACACCTTCCCAGGCAGGGAAAATGAAGCTCCCTCTGTTTAGTGTATGGCTGTAGTTGATAAAGAAAATGTGGTCAATTAAATTCTTGATCTATTCTTTGATAACTCAGTATACTGTTCTGCCTCTTGATACTGTAAACCTGGATATTTCATAATCACAGCTCCAATAGAATGGCTTATGTTGGAAGGGACCTTAATGATCATCCAGTTCCAACCCCCCTGCCATGGGCAGGGACACCTTCCACCAGACCAGGTTGCTCAAAGCCCCATCCAGCCTGGCCTTGAACACTGCCAGGGAGGGGGCAGCCACAACTTCTCTGGGCAACCTGTGCCAGTGTCTCAGCACTGAATATTCACAGATATGTGAATCTGGTATTTCGCAAATAAGTAAAGAAAAAAAAACCTGGATATATCAGTGTTAGCTTTGTAAAGAGGGCATCATTTCCTGTGCCTCAGTACTCTTGCATCAGGCTACAGTGTGTGAACTCGTGTGATTTCAGCTGAGCATGTTCTGTCTTGTGAACAGTGTCAGAGAACACAAAATCATTTAAAGGCTCAGTTTATGCACTTTTCTGCCACGTATGAGTTTGAAGAATGTTGATTCACTGTCTCTCTCTAAAAGCAGAACCGTTCATAAAACTGATGAAGGCAAGATCGTGTCTTCATGACTACGAGCAAAAAAATGGATGGTGTTTTTGAGGAAATAATTTCATTGTTAAACCTGTAAGAGTCTGCTTAAAGCTTCTGATTACTGAATATTTTTGTCCTAGGCCGAGTACCCAGAGCTGTAGCATCTGTCAATCAGCATTTATTAGCATCTGATGATGTGGTTAGCTGCTGCTTGGATTTAGGTGTACCCAGCATTTCTTTTCGCATTAATGGACAGCCTGTACAAGGAATGTTTGAAAACTTCAGTACAGAAGGTTTTTTCTTCCCTGTTGTGAGCTTATCAGCAGGTGTAAAGTAAGTACAACTTAATTGTTTTCTTTCCTGTCTTGTCACACAAAATATTGTCCAAATTCATGTATAATTTGGTCTGGTTTATTGTTTTGATTCTGCCCAACTAGCAACTGGGAGGGAGGCAGGCAGGAAGGTACTGATTTGTTTAGTGATTTCACTTAAGGGTGAAATGTGAGCCTGTTAGCAATTTGACTAAGTCACAGAGTCTGAAAATTATTATTTTAGGGGTATTTGGTAACCTAGGGGAAATTAATTTTGTCTGATTCCAATTATCAGTGAGAAAAAGGCACATTAGGAACACTGCACCACATTTGGCACTAATTAAAATTCTCACTGGCTTTCTCAGCAAAAAAAAAACTAAATCATCATGAAAAGTGATACTATATTCACAGTAGGAAACACAAAGTACTAATGAGAAGCAGTTTGGAATCTTGTTACTAATACTGCCTATTTCTTACCTGGTTTGGAGCTAAAATACTGAGATTTGAACTTACCATTTTCAGGCTTCTATTTTTATCTTACCTTTAATTCATTAAGAAAATCTGCAAATGGCAGTCTACTAAAGTGGCCAAAATACTTGTGTTAACATTACAAAGCTGACACATCAACGAAATACTAGCTCTTGGACTGTCATTATAACGTGACATGAGAGTGTGCAGCATTAGGAGCGTATAGCATGAGTGGAGGTTTAGACAGTGCAGTGAAGAGCAGGGACAGAACAATCCTTGGAAGGAATGAGAACATCATAAAGAGAAGGTGAGATTGAATGGTTTGCTACAACTCAGAAAAAATTGGCTAAGTTGGCAGGAAGCAAGGAGCTGTTTATTGGGGTGTGGTCAGCAAGGGAAGAATTGCATGAGAGTTTTTTTCATTTTGATTCTTTCTTTGACTTTTCTCTATTTAGGAAGTTAGACTTCTGGATCCTAAAATAAAATTGACCTCCTTTTTATTTTTAAAGTATTTTGATCCATGTGGTGCCTTGCCGTACAGAGATGTCTAAGCTCAAAGTTGTCATTTCAAATATTTAGCTGCCTTGGGATCATTCATATGTTTTTAAAATTAAATTAGGAAGTTGAAGCTTAATAGAAGTAATCAATAATAATGTATTTCTTGTGGACATTGAACCATTTCAGGTATTTGTGACGGTGTGATGATCTCAGAGGTCTATTCCAACCTAATGATTCTGTGATTATGTGACTTGTGCTTATGTACATCCTGTTTGAGAAAACCTGTGTGTCTTAATTTCTCTCCTGTTTTTATGTTATTAATGTCTCTTACTGTCAATGAAATATGTTGATCTGATAGTTCTGGTGTTTCTAGAAGTGAAGTAAAAAGTGGTGTAGACTTCTGGTCACCCCATCACAGCAAATGTCTGGGCTATTTCCTAGAGATAACAATTATTTTTAATTTTCTGTGGTTGTTGGCCTCTAGAGTTTGCCTACATGAGGACCAAAGTATGCAGCTGGATAGTTTTTGTCCTTGTTGTTTTACCTTGTATACTCTGAAATTTATATGAAATATATATATCTGAGGAGAAACAGAAAGCTGTAGGGGTTTAACAGGAATCTTAGTTATGCTTCTGAAACTCATTCCCAGTTGTAGTAATGGGTATAATTTTGTTTGCTTGATTTATGTATTATGTTTATAGTGGGAGTTTTTCCACTGTATCCTGTTTTGTTTTCTCATGTGCCAACTGCCTGCATGAGTGCGCTTTAAAACTTTTAAGTGGTATATAAATAATCCCTATGGGATTTTTTAGGTAACAGTCCAATTTAAATTAGATTTGTGTTTCCAAATCATTTAAAGGCATTACATTTAAAGGCAATTTACAAACATTCGATTTTAAGTAAGAAATATTTTTTTAGATATGCTACTGCATTGAATAATTAGTTTTGCTTTGGCCAAAACAAATTTTCAAAAAATAGTGGGTAAGTGGTGGTGTTATTGATAGTATCTGCTAGTATGAATGCTTGATAACTCTTTGGTGTTTATCAAAGCATGAAATACACCTGCATTTTTTTAAATGCTATTCAAATAAATGTTTACATTTCTAAATGATTATTTATTATGTTAGTATAAGCTGACTGTTTAAGAGTATAATTTCTTCACTGAAAATTGCACAGAGTTCGTTTCTTATTGGGTGGACGTCATGGAGAGTTTAAATTTCTGCCTCCTGCTGGCTATGCTCCCTGTTATGAAGCGCTGCTTCCAAAAGAGAAGATGAAACTGGAACCGGTGAAAGAATATAAGAGAGATTCTGATGGAGTGAGGGATTTGCTGGGTACAACACAATTCCTCTCCCAAGCTTCCTTTATCCCTTGTCCAATAGACACCAGTTCGGTATGTTAAGTATGCAGTAATGGGATTGTAAAGTGTGTCTTAACAAAATTTAAAGTCACAATATAAAAACTAAGCTAGCTTGCCCTGTTTCTCAGCAATTCCTCATTTGTGTGTTGTGGTGTATTTAACTGAAGTAGATGATCTTGGATTTACAAGGTGTGGTAACTGGAACCTTTTCTTATTTGTGGAATTGTTGCGCTCTTTTCTTAGATTGCTCTTCCTTTTCATCTTGAAAAGATCAGGGACAAACTAGCTGAAAATATCCATGAACTGTGGGGAATGAATAAAATAGAACTGGGCTGGACATATGGCAAGGTATGTTTTGAATGACCTGTCTGGGTACAGTCACCTATATTAGGTTAAATTCCCTACCGGAAAAACTGGACTTGGAAATTGAATGGAGTATTTAATGGTGGTCTATACGTTGCTAACAGTAGATGAATATGTAAGCTGGCAGGAGGAACCAGTGATATTAACTAGTGATTAGAAGGCAAGTTTGGAATATAAATAAGGTACGTATTTTAGCACTATAAGTAATTAATAATTTGAAAATATATCTTAATTGAGAAACATACTAGCTATACTAAGATGGAATTCTGTTGAAAGTCATCATACCAATAGTGATTAATCCCTGACTAACTCTTTGATTACTCTAATGTTGGGGAATAAAGAGATAACATGCAAAAAGTCCTTTGTGGAAATTTGCTCCTGTCGATAATGACCACAAGGTTTTGGTGACTTCTGTAAACATTCAAATTCCTCAAAGCTCATGTTTTTTGTTTAATTAGTTACGGTTAAAACTTATCATTATAATGATCCCTTATAATGTGGTATAACCTAACCTCTTGAAGAGAGTAAAGCCATCTGGTCAACATTATTTAAATGCATATGACAAGGCATTCCCTGCCCAATGGATGTCACCAAATGAAAAACAGTTAAAAGGCTAGGCCAAGAATATTATATTCAGAGTATTATATTAAATTCAACAATTATATTAAAATTGGTAAGTTTCCCTAGTAATATAACATTCTAAAGACTGTATTCTGCCTTGAATTTAGATTATTTCATCTTGCTGCTTTTCGAATTCGGATTTACTGGGGTAGTCCTCCATGTGCCCATCGCAACTGTATCCTGCTTCAGAATAATCTTTTTCCTTCTCTTCTGCTGTTTTTGCTTACAGAATTGATTTACCTTTTTCTTCAATAACTCTATTATGCTATCTGTTAAAATGTCATTGCTATTGCAATTCTGAGCTTTACTAACTTTCTAAATATTTCTGAGCTTTGGCAAATGAAAAATGTTTTTGTATGTGAAATGTTGTGATTCTTAGTTGCCATCAGGATAGAAGCACTTGGCATTGAGTGAAAGAGCTTGTTTAATTAAGTCAGATAAGTATTCAAAAACTTATGTCATTATCAGAAAAAGAATGCTTTGCTTTATTATTCCAGTAGAATTTGGAAAACATTACCAAATGATTCTTTAAGATTTTTGAGTCAGAGCATGTACAATAGATCAGATTGTGCTCTATTGAGCATAGAGTGCTCAGGCATTCAGCAAAATGGTTATCGAGTTTGTAGGCTTGCTTTCTTGTGTTTCATCTATTTAAGCAGAACACATGAAATAGTTGTATTTTTTCTGATTTTATTGGTTATGGAGTACTTATAGTCTGCATTATAAGTGAATCGTGGGAAAGTTCATTTATATAATGATGAGTAATTGTGATTGAGCAAAGGTAAATAGTATTGTTTAGAATGTCATCATTACTGCAAAGAATTAACTGATTTTTTTTTACTCTGATTCTGACTTGAATGTGATATCACAAAAGTGCTTCTTTCTGTTGCTTTTGTTACAGATACGGGATGATAATAAAAGGCATCATCCTTGTCTTGTGGAATTCTCAAAATTACCTGAGACAGAGAAGAATTATAATCTACAAATGTCAACTGAAACCCTCAAGTAAGCTTTAAATTTAAAAGAAAACAAAGTTTATTATTTTTATTCAAGCACTTCATACTGTTGCAAGATATAAAAACATTAGAATATCTCATTCAAAGTGTGTTCTTCTATCTTTGCTAGAAAGATTTAGAAAGATCTTGTCTCTACAGAGATACAAAGAAAAAAACAACAAATCCTGTTGGTTTTAGTAAAGTGAAATAACTTTCAAGCCACAGATTTGTACCTTTTTAGACTCTGAAGTTTTTAATTATAATTTTTGATAAGTTAAAATATTTTAGTTTTGAAGTTCCATTATTTTGAATGAGTTCCCTTGTTTTTAAATATCACTAGTTCTTTGTATTTATACTAAAACCAAAATAAATTTAAAAAATGGTTGAGCATTATAATGTTGTGTTTCACTAATGCCATTTTTTTATGTTGGCAGAACCCTTTTGGCCCTTGGATGTCACATTGTTCATGCTCATCCAGCAGCTGAGGAAGATCTTAAAAAAGTTAAACTTCCTAAAAAGTATGTATGTCATGATAACTATTATGTATTATTTGTAACTACAGGGTATTAATTAAACAAAAATATTGTAAGATTATTTAGAAAATGCTTGATATGAGCCCCATACCCAATATGGACTTACAGAGCGCACAGTTGGTCCATTACCTTGCCTGTGATGAAGGTTGACTGTGAATACTGCTGCATTACACCACCTTGTGGAGTGGTTCACAGAGACACAGATGGTCACGTACTTAAACCGCACACAATTTTATCTGTGTTACATGATCTTAGAATAGATACTCCAAAGTTAAAAGCGAGATTTCAGTACTTTTATATGATATAGCAAAGAACAGTATATGTATATGGTGGTACATTGATCTACTTGAAAAAGAATATACCATTATCCCATAACTCCTGTTTCGGTTTGCACCTCTTTTTCCTTCCCCTCCAAGAAAAGATGTGTTCAACATACACACATTTCCAGAGATATTATTAATGCATTTCTTTAAAGAAGAGAAAAAAATAGAAAATAAATGTTCTTATAATGTTGCAGATTTCTAGGGAATGTACATATGTAGATTATTGCATAAAATACAATCAGAGTTTTGCTTTAATTTTTATTTGGTAGCTAAACTATGGAAGTCAAAACTAAAATAGTTGAATAACCTTTTTTATTTAGACATTTTTAAGTCATCATAGTAATCACCCCAAAAGTGGCAAAGGGTTACATCTGTATTTTAACCTTGCTGTGGGAATTCTGTAGTCCTCCTGGGACAGATTAAAGGCCTGTCCTGCAAGAAAACTTGAAAACAGAAACAGGGATTTGGATACTTTCCATTTCATACCAGTTTATCAACCCACAAGCTGTCTTTTTTTGTGGGTTTTTTTGCTGATTTTCAGCTTTATTCATGAGAAACAAAGTTAGGTTTTTAAAGACAGTAGTAAAAGAAATAGTTTTATGATATGGAAGATCATATCCAGTCTTGATCCAGTTGATGTCATTAATTAAAGAAGGGAAAAAAAGAACCTTTCCCAAGGTTCATCCTGCCACAGATTCTATCATAATACTGTTTTGATACTATTGTCTTCAATAACAGAACAAATAAATCTTAGTTTCTGGCTTTTGTTAAAATATCTACTGCCTACATGAATCATCCTAACAAATGGAAATTATCCAATTTGAGCGAGAGTCTGCCTGTGTCTAAAACATAGTCTTTACACTATGTGGAAGGGTTGGAGAGAGTAGTATCTACTACTAAAAAACCTAAGCTTATTATTCAATGAAAAAGTGAGAAGAACAATAGTTAAAATATGTTTTCTTCTGTTGGAAAAATGGTAATGCAATCTTTACAGACTAGTATATAAAAATACCATACTTAATGCATAAAAATAATTTCAAATGAAGTCATCATGCAGATCCTTAAAATAGAAATTACTTAAAGGTTTAAATGGCAACTATAAAAAATGTAAAGAGTACTCATTTAATAACAATTTGGTATTTTCATAGCAACTATTTAGGGATTGACATATAGATCTGAGTCATATTTAATTAGATAGGGCACAAGTGGGTGGAAAATGAGACTCTCTGCTAGAATACAATTTATATCCTAGTCAGTGACCGAATGCAATGCAGGATTTTTGCTAAGAAATGGGAGAGCAGAATGAAAAGTGGAGAGATAAAGTGAATCCCACCCTATGAATGCCATATAGAAAACATATCTTGACTCTCTTTTCCTTTGTTGACTTACAGTTACATGATGTCAAATGGATATAAACCTGCCCCTCTTGATCTTTCTGAAGTGAAATTGTTACCTTCTCAAGAATTTCTAGTTGACAAACTAGCAGAAAATGCACATAATGTCTGGGCAAAAGACAGAATAAAGCAAGGATGGACCTATGGCATTCAGCAGGTAAGGACTTCTTTAGATGCATTTGGAGTAAGTAAAGAACATGAGATTTTGTTTTCTAGAACATCAGTTGGGAGTGTTAAATAAGAGTATAAATACTGAATGTCATGTAATGTCTGGAAAAGTTAGAGGGGGCGGGGAGCCAGAAAAGAAGCCTTGCCCATGCGAGTCTGAGTAGATTATCAGACCTGCATGGCTGCAGCTGCAGGATGTATGAGAATATATTTCCATGCTTCTCTTTGATTGTTGTCTTTAGGTTATTAGTATTATTAACAATTGGGTTTGCATTCATAGAACTGTTCTTCATTGATATTGTTTCTCTCCTGTAATCATAACATTATTTCAGAATGCACTCTGTCTCATTATGTGAAATCTTTGTGATGTTTAAACAGAGTTCTCTTTGTTTTCTTTTTTATAACCCTTTTTAGGATCTTAAGAACAAACGTAATCCTCGGCTGGTGCCATATGCATTATTAGATGAGCGTACTAAAAAATCAAACAGAGATAGCCTCCGTGAAGCTGTTAGAACATTTGCAGGCTATGGTTATAGTATTGAGCCACCTGACCAAGACATAGGTATGTACTTTCAATAATAATCATGGCCTTTTTCTCTCTCAGTGCAGGGAAAATAAGATAAAACACTGAAATAGATAGGGAAAATGTAAGAGATGAATTAATAGTAGTGTATTTTTGCAGTGGACTTAAATGAAGGGTACAAATATACTATGCAAATTACTTGTATATTACATTTTTTAATATTTTTTAAAAGATTGGTTGTAGTTAATGAAATGATAATTCTAAGTTCCGTGATTTTTAGATTGGAGGAAATATGGAGCAAGTGGACATACTGGTTTTCATTTGGAAATGATGAAAGAAAAAAAATAACATGGGATTAATTGAAAAGAATTTTTTTACATGGTATGCAGATTAGTTTTGACTACTTCAAGTCAAACTCAGTTCTTAAGCAGTAGTCAAAGTACACCAAGTTCAATAATTTATTTTTTTTTTAAATCAGGAGCAGAAATTTGTTTAGAAGGTTTTCATTATATTTGCTATACCACTGTAATTTTTTGACAAAAATCCAAACTGAAACAAAACTTATTTGATAGTTTTTAAAACCCGTACTGAATGTATTGACTTGTTTAGGACAGTATTTTGTTGAATTGTAATACTGCATTATTGCATTGGATTGTATTGCATGTAGTAATCTTTCACTTCTGAAGTTTACTTTAGTCAGTTTTGTGTTTGGGTCTCTGCATTGAGTGACACTTTGAAATATTCTGATTCTGGATAGCGGATAATCACTCATCCTGTATAGAATTAGAATGTGCTAGCCTCTGTATACTGATTACTGTTCCTCCTTTTTTAACATTTACTATGAAGGTTCTTAAACATGCAATGGTAGAAAATGGCTGTTGTCAGAGGTGGAAAATACTGGGGACAAATGAAAAGCTAAACAGTGGCATTTATAGTTTCATCTGACTGTAAAAAGTGGGGTTGTTTTCTCTATTTATTTTTACAGCTGTCCAAACAGTGGAAAAAGTCAGCATCGACAAGATACGATTTTTCAGAGCAGAACAGTCTTATGCAGTGAAGTCTGGAAAGTGGTACTTTGAATTTGAAGCTGTGACAGGTGGAGATATGCGTGTTGGCTGGGCCAGGCCAGGCTGTCGACCTGACATAGAGTTGGGAGCTGATGACCAAGCATTTGTATTTGAAGGAAGCAAAGTCAGTACATCTTTATCTTTTTTGACCTATGAACGGCCTAGACAGAGAACTGCAGTATGTTTCCTCTGTGTGCACCAGATCAACTACTGGAATATTTTTGATTCATATAAAGATATCACTGAGCTCTGTTTCATGCAGGGTAGTATCTGCATTTTGGTACTGGTCAGTGAAATTATGCTAACAAAGGTGTATTGGTTATATCTATCTTCCTAGAATACACCCGAGTAAAGAAATCCATCGTAAGCATAAACAAAGTACAGCATTCACTTCCTTTGTTTTATAAGTGGTGTTTTACAAAAATAAAACAGTTTCTTCAATGACTGAAAGAAAGAACCACATTCCTGTTCTCCCTTTTCTGTCTTTTCTGCTTTCTGCACATTCTTTCTTTCTAAGCTTGACCCCCTAAAGGACTGAAAGGATGATAATGACACTGTGTGTGATAAGTGGAATCCAGTGAACAGTGATTATTATCCAGGTTCTAAATTGCTGTTTGCATATTACTAAAGTTAGGGTACCTTAATTTCTCTATATAGAATAACTAAGATAATAATTAAATTTAATACCTGAAAGCCATGATCAGTACTGTTCACAAATTACTTTGGGATTCTGGAAGGTGAAATATTTCTTTGTTTTACTTTATTTATTTTGGGGTTTATTTTTTAATTTTAGCGCGGTCTTTATTTACTTCTTTAGGGGCAGCGTTGGCATCAAGGCAGTGGATTCTTTGGACGAAGCTGGCAACCAGGAGATGTAGTTGGCTGTATGATAAACTTGGATGACAAATCAATTATCTTTACTCTGAATGGAGAGTTGCTTATAACCAGTAAAGGTTCAGAACTTGCGTTTGCTGACTTTGGAATAGAAAGTGGTAATTTCTTTTCATAGTTACATGGTTATGAGAAGACAAAACAAAACCCGGGAAAAGTAGTCTGTCATAATGGCTTAGTGAGCTGAGAAATCATATGTCACTCATGTGAGCCTTCAGACTGTGCTACACATTAACTTCATAACAATTTATTTTAAGAGCGCTTATATGGGACAAATTGATTTTCTTTTTTTCCTTTAACCACAAGTAGATAAAATGGGATTTCAGCAATCAGAATGGGTAAATTTTCTTTGAGCCTTGCTAGGCTTACTGAGAGGACTGAACTACATTTTAAGAACTAGTGGTAATAATAAGCACCTTGAAAATTTCTCAGAAGCTGAAAATGTAGTCTCTGATGATCTTGCTGGAGCATACACATATTATCTTCTTGTCTCTGAAGAACTAAATAAGTACTATGTAGTGAGAAGCTGCACCACAAGAACAAATCTTTGCAGCATAAATTGAGTCTAATACATAAATATTTTTTTCTCTGTCCTATTCATAACTTATCTGCATTTCTTCTCCTCTTTAGCTATTTTTCCTCTTCTGTTTTGGCCTTTGATTTTTGAACAGTAGTATCTATGTGACTGTGTTGAAGGAGGCAGGGAATATTTTCAGACTGTTTTGTTTTATCTTTTAGTTGACGTTTTCTTTGGAAGCATATCTCCTCCAACCAGTCTAGCTTCATGCAACTGCTCACTGTCCCTCTTTGCTGACTATTGATACAGTTCTTCTAGTGGTAGGGAATGAGGGACTGCTTTAAGAGGGGTTTCTGAAGGCTTAAAGTGGAAGTGTAGGAGAGCCTTCTCCTTTAGAGGCTGAACTGTTGGCTTTCCCCTGAAGTTACTCAAAGTTCTGTTTCTTGAGAGATGGAGAAGTAATTCAACAGCCTTTCATCCCTGTCTATTGGCTGCTACAGGTACATGGAGACCAAAAAAGTTGGGTCATAAAAAATGCCAGCGTTAAAGAAGTGTGTATTTGTTCATCATGAATGATGGAGGGAGAAAGGTTGGCAACAAATTTGTAGCTACTAATGACAAACTAAATTTTAAACAGATATACTGAGATACCTGAACCTCATCACAAAGTCCTTTTGAAACTCCACTGCCCTCAGAGAGCATACTTAACATGTGTTAATAACTTTGATCTAGCCAAGGTTGTCTTCCAATTTCTAACTCATTGTATGATGACATCGAAAAGTGATGAAGATATCCAATTGTTCTAATAAATGAATAACTTACTTGAGCAAATCTTGGTTTTTCAAATCTGATTGTCCACAAAATTACCTCTTGACTTGACATTTTTTATTTGTTTTTCACACAAACCTACTACTACTTACTAATAACAATTGTTAAATTGTTTTAATATTTAAATAAATGGGATAGTGTGTGTGATGTCCATTCATTGCCTAAGTCCTCAGGGGTTTTGGTAGCAATGATATTGCACTTAGACATTAGTATTTAAGGTGGCTTTAAATCTTTGCGATTATCATCACTTCATGTGTATTACTTGCTAAAGTTATTATTCATATTAGATGGATCCGAAATAGAGTGCTTGTGTTCTCTAAATAAATTGCTATTGGTTGGGTTTTTTGATGTTGTTGTATTGTTTTCTTAGGTTTCGTTCCAATTTGTGCACTGGGTCTATCTCAGATTGGTCGTATGAACCTCGGAATGGATGCCAGTACATTCAAGTACTATACAATGTGTGGCCTTCAAGAAGGTTTCGAACCTTTTGCTGTCAACATGAACCGAGATGTTGCTATGTGGTTTAGTAAACGCTTACCAACATTTGTCAATGTGCCAAAAAGTCATCCTCACATAGAGGTAACATTACATGTTAGAGACAGACACCTGTTTATCAACTGTTTGTTTAGCAGGCTGAGACATTAAACCCTTACTAATACTTACTGTCATCAGATAGTTTGTCATATAAATCTATTAAGTCACTCTTGGATGATTCCAGATGATCTTGTCTATCTCCAACTTCATTTTTGGTAGTATTACCATTCATATAGATATACCTATCTGTTCTGTTGTATGTCTTACCAATTTACATTGTTTTGGTTAACTGCTTGAAACATGTCAGTTGTGATTTCTTAGAACCATTTTTTATATTCTATCTTACATTCACTTTCATTTTTTAAAAACTCTACTATACATTTTTCTTAAATATCTAAAAATTGTTCAGCTGAATTCAGCATCACTTGAGGTAATGGAAGTGTGAGCTAAACAGAGACTGACGCAGTCCACCAATCTGAGTGACATTTAAGTGTACCTGTGGTGTCACTGAGTGATACCTGTTTCATTCATTCTTATTATGCACCAGTGATAGGAATTCCACAACTCCCTAACTAATCTACTGTAGACCAGAATAATATATCCTATGTTGTGTATAAAATAATCCATATTAATATATTCCACAATGATATGTTTGAATTCCTGATCAGTTTTTAACTATAATCGCTAGGCCATTTACTTTAAGTGTTTAGACGATTATTCCCTAATGCTTGTCTTTGAACGTTTCCTTATTAAACAAAATACACTTCATTGAATTCCAACTAAATGGTCTCAGCATTTTTTTCAGTTTATCAGGTTTATTTCACCTGTATTCCTGTGTAAAAGTTTTTGAAATGTTCATATCACTGAGTTTAAAAGCATAATCGCTTTTTCAGCACAAGGGAAAATAATAATCAGACTCAGACTTCATAATGACCATCTGAAGGATTCTAATTTATATTTCTTCTCGTTGTGGTAGAAAACTACTGGTTCTTGTGAAGCAATTTTTCAACCATTCATGCACTCAAAGTGAATTAATTTAATAAAAAGCTATACTTCTGTTTTCTTTTGAAATTGCTGTATGGAACAACATGAAAATATTTACTGTAGTCAGGGTATACTGAATCTGTTGCTTCCCTTGCTCTTCAGGCTAGATTCCCTGTCAGAGAAGAAAGTTGTGTAGTTTTGAAATTAATTCACTTTGAAAAATTTAAGTTGACTCTTTAAGTTATCTCATCCTCTAGTTGCTTAATGAAAGTTTTCAGCTTTTTTCTTGGAATAATATTATTTTTAAATTATTTCTGTTATTTTTAGATATGGAGAATTGATGGAACCATCGAGAGTCCACCTCGGTTAAAAGTTATTCACAAAACATTTGGCACACAGAACAGCAATTCAGACATGATTTATTGTCGTTTGAGTATGCCCATTGAGTTCCGCTCGTCATTCAACTTCAGCATGGGTGTGGAAAATGCCTCATCTGATGTTTTCCAAAAACGGTTAGGCTTGGTTTTAGTTATGCTAGTTCATGTTCTCAATGTAAATGTAATATGCTCTATTATTCTTTGTTGTTGTAAACTCAAGATTTCACACTTGGTTTTGCACTTAGCTCACGCTAGCATAGGATGCATTTTACTGAGATTTTTTTGTTCTTGATGGTTTTAATAAATTTATAACACAACTTTGCTCCAGAATGCTATATCCAGACAAGAGAGAAGTGTTTCTGACGAGGTGCATCCCAGGGTTTATAGTTACTCGTTGCTAAACAGCTGCTGTCCTTTCTAACTCATTGGGGTTTGCAAAGCTCCTCAGCCAGGCTAGAAAACATCTCAGAATCTTTTGCCCTCTCGTTCAGTGCTCATCTACATTATTGTTCAATAGCTCATTGTTACTGGAAAAATTACTAATCCATGCAAAGAAAGAAAGATTGTGGGACAGATTTTTAGAGATACCAGGTACTACTGAGTTCAGCACCTTCCAGCATTGTCTTAATCTTTAGTTAATTGCTGTAAATTTGTCTCTCCACCCTCTCTCTGCCTTAATTGCAATCATTTTGGGTCAATATATGTATCCTGTTCGGTTTTTGCATACTTAATTTACTCATGCATACTCAGTACCCAGCAAACATGAGTTAGCTTGTAAGTAACTTAGTTCAATAGAGTGCGCTTTTTTTACAAGTTCTTTTTAAAAAAACCCTAATTTACTGATGTTCCTTTATCATTAGAAAGCACAGCCAAGAAATTGCTGCTCCTTCCACTACTGTAAGTAAATACATTGAGATGCTTAGTTCTTTTTGCATTTTGAAGTAGATTTAGTGATGGCAGCATGTTCGTTAGAAATTGATCTGTTATAAGAAGCCTTTTTAATCATTTGCTATGATATAACACTGTGTAAAAATAATAATGCCAGAGTTGTATGGCTTGAGGCATAAACCTCACAATGTTAAACCGCTAGTCTGTTTTTTTTGATTTATGAGCAATTTAAATTACTTATTAAGAGAATTTGAGTTACTGTTATTAAAGTTTGATGTACAGGAGGGTTTTTTAATCACTATTTGAGTATACTTTGATAAAATAATTTAGTTTTCTATTACTAATATATTCTTTTCCTCTTTCCAGTATTTTTATTCACTACGGATATTTGCTGGCCAAGACCCATCCTCTGTCTGGGTTGGCTGGGTAACACCAGACTATCATTTTTACAGTGAGAATTTTGACCTAAATAAAAATTGTACAGTGACAGTTACTTTAGGTGATGAGAGAGGCAGGGTTCATGAAAGGTATGGATTTATTTATCACCTATTAAAGACTGTATTTTAATACTGTTGTTCAAAAGTGAATTATTCACAAACTTGATATTTTAAATGTTAAACTAACAAGAAAATTGATTATGAAGTAGGAGTGTTCTGTACTCATTTATATATGAATGTGTTTTACATAGGCTTGTTAAAGTCCATTATCATTAATGTTTTCTTTGAAAGAATGTTTTGTGATGCTTTTTTCTTTCAACATCCATATTTGGTCACTGTGGATGAGCCAGTTATTTGTTTTAATGTTTTACATAAGCACACAGAAGCATGTGAAATTGTTTCGTGATACAAAAAAGGAAAAAATAAAGGTGCACTTAGTCTGATCCCCTTACCCACAATGCTTACGTTATTTTAAAAAAGGGGGGTTGATAATGAGTAAACAGAACTAATAGACGCACAAGCATGTTTGAGGCTTTCTAATTGTTACTGCATTGAAAAGTACATCTTCACTGAGTACTTAGCCAAGTTCAGTGTGACCTATGATTTGTTTTCTTTGTTCTTGCTGTTCTTTCAGTGTGAAGCGCAGCAATTGCTATATGGTTTGGGGAGGAGATGTAATTGCTAATTCCCAGAGATCAGGTCGCAGTAATGTTGATTTGGAAATTGGATGCTTTGTTGACCTGGCTACTGGAATGTTGTCATTCACAGCCAATGGAAAAGAGCTTGGCACTTGTTATCAGGTATTATCAGATTTTCAGGAAGCTATCTAGTAAGCTGGTCATTTTGATACTATTATAAAATTGTTTATTCTTGTTCAGAAATCTGACTGAACACTGTTCGTGTGACAATAACATGTTTTCCTATATTATTCTGTTTCATCCCTTCCCCCCCTGCCTCTCTCTCTCCCCCCCGTTTTGTAAGGCTACATTTTTCCAACTTCTTGCGGTTGTTTCAAATGTTGAGGAATGGCTCTTGATAAATATGTTCATAATTTTTTTTTTACCTCTCAATTCATGTGGTTCAGAATCTTGATTTATAATCTTAATTATTCTTTTATTAATATTTTATTTGTCGACTGAATCTGTTATACAATATAGGGGAAATAATTATTTACATTAGCATAAGGTCAAAATTAGGCTTTAGATATAGTAATTTTTGGTATGGATTGAGAAAATAGATTTAGTTTATTATTACTGGGGTTTGTGTCTTCTGCAACTAGCTGTGATTTGAAGATCTTGTGATTAGATAAATTTCAAACCCCAAAATTACAATACAGTTAGTGTGCAAAGCCAAAATAAATGGAGTGGGCCCTAAATGCTATTAATGTTCACAAAACGGAGAGTCATTGGAGCAGTAGTTGACAGAAGTTTTTAGCACCAGATTGATGAGATTTGCTCTTAGTAAGATCAGTTGTCCATAGTAGATCATGCATCGTGGAAGAGGTTATCCAGTGTTAGGAGCAATGCATCCCTTTCTTCTATGTCAACAAAAACCCCACAAATCTGTAATACAAATAAAACTTAAATGTTATTTAGCTAAATTTAATGGAACTTTGTACACTGACTCTGTTGAAAATTAGTGCAGTAGGGTTGCACGCAGCCTGTAAATGGGAGTGGTAGGTGATCCAGCAGCTGTGATTTCGGTGTATTTTATAAGAGTGGTGAGAGACTTCGGTGCTATGCTGGGAGGTTATTAAATGTCAACATCCTGGGAAAAGAAAACAGGAGATGAAAGTGCTTAAGCCCCACGCTTTGCTGTTTTTTTTAGCTAGATACAAATCAATATGACAGCTTGTGAAGAAAGCCATGGAAGTTTGGCGGTGTGTTGTTTGGGTTTTTTGTTTGTTTTTTCTTTTTATGGAACAGTCTTTACTTGTTTTTCTAATTTTGCCAGGCAATCTAGGAAAACTTAAATGTGGAAGATGCCTTTTACTGCTTTTAGTGTAAAAAAACACTTTCAGGTTTTTCCTCTTGTGACTTGCAATTAATGTAACCAAATTTGTTGTACTAAATTTAAAATAATCTCAGAAAATACAATTATTTCTCTTTTGTTTCTTCTCTTATCCGTGGAAAAAAGTACCTGGAGTTGCTTTTGTAAATGTTTTTCAATGAACCTGTTAACACCTAGTCTGTTGGAAAATGAGAACACCTAGCACTTCCTGTAATGATACAATGGTATATTCTAACAGGAATGTTATGTCTGAGGGTGAAATATTTCTCAGCGTTTGCTTATTTAGAGTACTTTAAATCTTTCCTCTATTTTTGAAAGTAGTGAAAATAGTCTTATGTAGTTTTCATTTTAATTTCTTTATTATTTTTACCATAAAATAAAATCTTTAAAATACTTGAGTAAATCTAATCTCTCACCCAAATTGCAGCAAATAATTGATATTTGTTTAGTCTAGAGGCTGCAGGATAATTATTCTAACCTTGTAACCATTTGCACTTTTCAGTTTTCTTAACTGGAGTAGAGGAACAGTATTTATATGCTGTTTTCTTTCCAAAAGGATGATAGGTCAACATACTGAGAAGAAATTAATTTTGCTGTAGTTCTTGATCTGACTATTGAATGCCATAGTGATATTCAGAAAAAAACCCCACTGTCTATAATAGAAAAGTAAATGAAAGATACTGTATACATATATACATGAGATTTTTGTCATTAATTGGCAGGCCAATGTTAAGGTATTTGTAGCAGAAAGGAGAACTTAAATATTGTTTTACAAGTGTTTTCTTCCAAGTTTATTCTGAGTTAGTAATGGTTTTCTGACACCAAACAAGTTTAGAAATTACAAATTCAGTTATTATTACTAGGAAATATTTACCTTTGGTCAGAGGATGAGAGTTGTATGTCTCAGTAACTTTCAGGCTTTAATGAAGTAAAACACATATTTTATTAGTAATGTCTTTCAGTCCAGGATACCTTTTTGTTTCTGGATTTGGGTTTGTGGTTTTGTTCCTTATCAAAAAGATTAGAATATACATACCTAGCCTTAGATTATTTTGTCTATCCCAATAGTTATAGTTCTGAAAAAACTTTATTCTGCATACAGAATTTCAGTATATGGTATTATTTTACATTTTCTTTAAGTTATATTGTGTTTTGGAAATTTTTTCTCATCTAAAAGACTACGAATTTTTTTTTTTTTTTTTTGTGACTCTGTTTCACTATATTGGTTTGGAATTTTTGATAATTCATATCCTCAAAGTTAGAAGCTGCACTCCTTCACAGCATGAGTATTGCAATTGTACTTAGTATGCATAAGTACGCATAGTACACAAAATATGTTATTATGTGATTAAAATACTGAATTGAGCTAATGAAACCTTGAATTGATTGCATGGGCTGTGCTTTTTTTCGGCCACTCTGGAGCACTGAAATCCTTTTAATAATATACTATTCTGTAAGTGTCTTTTTAATTCTTTTTTTTTTTTTCATAGCAGTAGGGTTGGGTGATCTTGTAAAGAAGTCTTCAGAAAAAATTGCTATTACTACCCTGACATGTACTTTGAATCTAGCTGTAATGGGGAAATGAGGATAATATAGCCGTCAAACAAAATCCCAAACCCAACCAGATACTTCAGAAATGCTGCACTGTGATTCAGTGTGATTCAGTGTGATTCACACTGATCCACAGATATATAGAGACAAATGTGTCACAGTTTGAGGCTGGGCCGGCC